TCTGATTCCACAAAAAAACACCCTCCACCCTGGCTCACTTTCGCCATGTCTGTGTCCCTGATGCAGAGAGCACCGGTGTTTGCTCACCACCTGCAGCAGGCAGCTTACTGGACTCTGGGTCAGACCTGGTGTCAACTCCACCCCAGCGCCTCACTGGGCAAGTCACAGCAGCCCTAATCTCAGGTGCCTCCTGGCTATAAAATGAGGGAAAATCTGCCCTGCTGCCCAGGCTGCCAGCCCCTCATACACCTTGCCCTCCTATAGGTATTGACAAGTGTATTTTGTCAAGAACGTAATGGTGGTTTCACCTGAGCAGACTCCATTGATTAGGTAGCAGTTTACTTTATTATCAGTTGTAATTATCAGCTTTCAACTAGCAGCAGTTATCCAGATGGAGTTTTGAGGGTGGGGTTGCCCCTCCTCAAAGTTATCTTCTTTTTTTTAATCCTCACCCAAGCATATTTTTTCCATTGATTTGTAGATAGAGTAGAAAGGAGAGGGGAGGAGGAGAGAGACGAGAGAGAAACATCCATGTGAGATAAACACAAGAGAGACACATCGATTGGTTGCCTTCTGAATGTACCCCAAACAGGGCTGGGGATTGAACCTGTACTCTTGACTGGGAATTGAACCCATGACCTTCAGTATGTGGGCCAGTGCTCTAACCACTGAACCACACTAGCCAGGGCCAAAGCTATCTTATTAAAGGATACACATTGTCTTGTTCCTGTTCACTGCCTGATCCTTACCTGAGAGGAAAGGAAGGCTACAGGACCTAAAGAGAGTGGAGGAAGCAGCAGGCCAGCAGGAGTGAGAACTCACTCGGTCATAATTCAACAAAGGGGAAAGACCATCACTCTGTTTTCTTCCTGTACCAGTGAGAGCTTTATCAAGGTAGGCTCTTGCTTTGGGACTCCAATGGCACCGAAGGCTCTAGTTCATCAAGGGGACAGTAAAACATAGTAAGGGAAGCCGGGAAGACAGCTCAGGAGGTGAGCCAGCCCCAAAGGGGAGAGGACACTATTGATATGGATTGGATGGTGGCCTCCAATGCTGGGTGGCCCTAAGCTCTGGAACCCTGTGTGACCTTATTTGGAAAATAGGTATTTGCAGATGTAAATAGGTTAAGAAAATCAAGCTGAGATCATTCTGGACTTAGGGTGGGCCCTATATTTCCATGACAGGTGTCATCAGAAACACACACACACACACACACACACACACACAGGGAGATTTGAGCACACAAGGGAGAAGGCCATGTGAAAATGGAGGCAGAGACTGGAGTGATTTGGCCACAAGCCAAGGAACCACCAGAAGCTGGACAAGGCAAGGAAGGATCCTCCCCTAGAGCCTCCTAGGGAGCACAGCCCTGATTTTGTACTTCTGCCTTCCAGGGGTAGGAGAAAATACATTTCTGTTGTTTTAAGCCGCCTAGTTTGTGGTGATTTGCTACAGAAAACTCATACACTGCCTTTCTTGCTGGTAGGTCCCAGGATCTGAGAGGTCCCCCAAGGTCAAGTTGGCTTCCTGATACTGCTCCTGAGTTGCTACAGAAGAGCCCATTGAGATAGAATGTCTGCCTGGTTACCTGAGCCCAAGCTACCCAAGTAACAAAGAGAACTTTATTCTGAGTTGTAGCATGCTGGGGAGAAACTGGCAGGGTGGCCGTGGAGGGCAGGTGAAGGAGGGGAAAGAACAGGGGCTTCCTCTCATGACTCACCGTGGGAGCTTTCCTGTCCCATGAGGATGACTTCACAGCCTTGCTCTAGGGCCCAGTATCGAGGGTTCATCAACACTGCTGTTTTCCTGGTGTGTCCAGGCCCTCGGGATCCCTGGATCTATTTCAGTTGAAAGTATGACTTAAGATTTGGAAGGCAGGATCTGAATTTCCAAGAAGCCATACAAACCTGAGCAGAGGAGAGCCTTAGCAGTGGCATCCAAACCCTGGATTTTATAAGAGAAGATGAGGCGGTGTCCTTGGTGGTCCCCAGATCTGCCTTATGCTTCAACAGTGTTTGGGCAGAACAGACCTAGGATCCCCCTTCTTCCAGCCTCCGACCACCCTCCAACCTTTTTTCATCTTTTTTTAAAATCCTCATCTGAGGATATTTTTCTATTTTATCTTCAGATAGAGTGGGAGTGAGGGAGAGGAAGAGAAAGGGAGAGAGAGAGAAACGTCGACGTGAAAGGGACACATTGAATGGTTGCCGCCCGTAGGACCCAGACCAGGGCTGGGGCACACTGCAATTGAGGTATGTGCCCTTGACCAAAATCAAACCCGCGACTCTGGTCTACAGGCCAATGCTCTAACCGTTGAGCCAAACTGGCCAGGGCCTACCAACCTCTTTTCCAGTCACCACTTTCAAAATCATCTCAGACATCCTCAGCCTCCCAGACCAGCCAACATCGTATTTTTGTTGTTGTTGGAAGGGAGGGAGAGAGTGAAACATTAATGTGAGAGAGTCGTATCCATTGGTTGCCTCCTGCACATCCCCTGACTAGGCTGGGGATCAAACCTGAAACCCAGGTATGTGCGCTTGACTGGGAATCGAACCCAAGACCCTTTGGTTCAAGAGCCAACACTCTAACTGCTGAGCTAAACCAGCCAGGGCACCAACACCGTTTTTTGTTTGTTTGTTTGGTTGGTTGGTTTGGCTTTGGTACGTGCCCCTAGCGGGAACCGAACCCGGGACTCTCTGGTCCGCAGGCCGATGCTCCAACTGCTGAGCCAAACTGGCCAGGGCTCGTGTGTGTTTGTTTGTTTGTTTGTGTGTTTGTTTGTTTTAACTTAAACTAACTCCTTATTGCCAAATAACCAAGAGCTCCCAAATTCATTAGAATTATCCCACCAAGGTAGAGGCTGCCATCAACTGCCTGGTCAACCTGCAACTGCCAGCCTCCGACACCTACCTCTCTCTGGGCTTCTATTTCTACCATGATGGTGTGGCTCTGGAGGGCATGGGCCATTTCTTCCACAAGATGGAAGCTGACCTAGGTTAAGCTGGAGGGCACCGAGTGTCTCTTTTTTTTCTTTACTGATTTTAGAGAGAGGGAGAGATAGAAACATTGATGAGAGAATATCGATTGGCCACCTCCTGGGGATTTGGCCCATAACCTGGGCATGTGCCCTGACAGGATATCGAATTGCTGAGCTCTTGGAGCATGGGTTGATGCTCAACCACTGAGCCACACACCGGCTGGGCCTGAGTGTCTTTTATTTATTTATTTTTTATCCTCACCGGAGGACATGTTTCCATTTTTTGTTCTGATAGAGTGGGAGGTAGAGAGAGAAGAGAGAGAAACATCAATGTGAAAGGGACACATCGAGTGGCTGCCACCCGCACGACCGAACCAGGGCCAGGAACAAACTGCAACCGAGGTACGTGCCCTTAGCAGGAACCGAACCCTGGGCAGATGCTCTAACCGCTGAGCAAAACCAGCAAAGGCCTGAGTGTCTTTTAAAAATACAAAACCAGCCTGGTTGGTGTGGCTCAGTGGATTGAGTGTTGTCCCATGGACTGAGAGGTCTGGGTTCAATTCTCAGTCATAGCACACACCTGGGGTTTTGGACTCGATTTCCAGTGGGGGGTGGGTGCAGGAGGCAGCCGATCAATGTTTCTCTCTCACATCAATGTTTCTCTCTCTCTTCCTCTCTAAAAAAATCAATAACAATTAATAATAATAATAAATGCAAAACCAGCACAGTGGCCGTGCTTTCTTCAAGAATGTGCAGAAGCCTTCCCAAAGTGAGTGGGGTTAAAACTCAGGATGCCATGGAAGCCACCACGGCTTTGGAGAACAATTTGAACCAGGACCTTTTGGATATGTACACTCTGGGTTCTACCTGCACAGACCTTCATCTCTGTGACTTCCTGAAAAACCACTTCCTGGATGAGGAGGTGAAGCTCATCAAGAATAAGGAAGACCACCTGACTAACTCCACGGGCTGGCTGGCCCCCAGGCTGGGCAAGTGTGTCTTCAAAAGGCTCACCCTGCCCTGGCCAGTTTGGCTCAGCAGTTAAGAGCGTGGCCTGTGGTCCAGAGGGGCCCAGGTTCAGTTCCTGCGAGGGGCACGTACCTCGGTTGCAGTTTGTCCCCGGCCCTGGTTGGGTCGTGTGAGAGGCAGCCACTCGATGTGTCCCTTTCACATCGATGTTTCTCTCTCTCTCTTCCTCTCTCTCCCTCTCACTCTATCTGAACAACAACAACAAAAAAGGCTCACCCTCAAGCACCAGGAGGAGCCTTCAGAGCAAAGCCTTTGAGGGACCCCTCTGCATTCCCCTGGTGTCTGGCTTTTACTTGAGCTTCTCTCTCCCTGAAACCACTAGCCATTCTTTTAACCACCCTGGAGCCCTCTCCCATGCATTGGAGCAAATGGAAACAATAAAGCTTTTTCCAGCCAAAAAAAGGGGCCCTGGCCGGTTTGGCTCAGCTGTTAGAGCCTCCCGCAATGAGTCTCAGGTTCGATTCCAGTCAAAGGCAGTACTTCGGTTTCATTCTCCCCAGCCCTGGTCCGGTCCTGCAGGAGGCAACCTGTTGATGTGTCTCTTTCACACGGATGTTTCTCTCTCTCTCCCTCCCACTATATCTAAAGATAAATAGAAAAATATCCTCCGGTGAGGATTTAAAAAGAAAATGAGACAATGTGGGTACCTTAGTTAAAGCATTTTAAACTTTTGTTTCCTTTCCTCAAGCCACATGCTATGGCCCCCAGCCCAACCCTCCCTAATTACCAGCCAGTTTATCAGTACAGGAGATGGGTTACATTCTCAAATAACCAGGCAAGAGGCTTGCTATAGAGAAGAAAATGGAATAAATGAGTTTATTTTCAGACTTGCGGCTTTCTCCCCCAAACCTGGGCTTCTCCCCTGGCACTCCCCTCTTCCTCAGCCGGGGATCTGACCAATCTTCTGAATCTGCTCGTGGGGAAGGTGGTGAGGAGCACAACCCTGTGTTTAGGGAGGGCTGCCTACCCACCGGTCCGAAGGAGAGCGAGGCTGTCAACAGGGCGGCAACAGGAAGAAGTGTGGTGGCGGCAGCGGAGGCGGGGGAAAAGGGGGTAGTGGCCAGGGGTCGCGGGGCGCAGGCGGCGCCAGGAGGCTGAAGGGCGAGGGACGTGCGGGCAGCGGCGGCAGCGGCTGCGGGGGCGGCTCAGCTACGAGCGGCGGGCGGCCGCGCGCGCCCACCGGCCCGGGAGTGGCAGCGATCGCAGTCTCCGGCAGCGGCGGCAGCGGCAGGTGCGCGGGCCGCGGTGCTGGCGCAGGCAGACGCGGCAGGTCCTGCAGGGCGAGAGAGGTGGCGGGCGGGGCTGGAACGCAAGCCTCAGGCGGCAGCTCGGGCAGCGCCAGGTAAGCGCCGGGGCCCCAGGGGGCCAGCGGCTCGGGCCGCAGCGGGAGCGCGGGCAGCGGAGGCAGCTCAGCCAGGGCAAGCGCAGAGGACGGCGGTGGCCCGGGTCTGAGACCGGGAGGCAGGCCGGGTAGCGGCGGGTGCGGCAGGGTTGGCGCAGGCGGCGGGGTCAGCAATAGTGACGAGCGGGCCCGGCCCAGCCGCGAATGGGCGCGGGCAAGCCGCGGGTGCGAGCGGGAGCGGGGGAGCCGCTCCGCCAGCTTGGTCGTCGCGGTTGTCGTCTCTGCTGTCGCCGCAGCGCCAGGACACAGCTCGCGCCGTCCGCCCCGGCCTCTTCCCTCCCGCTGAAAACCACGCAGAGTAATGCGGAGCGCCCGGCCAATCGGAGCCATGCGCCTCTGCGTTCCAGCCAATCAAAAGCAAGTGCGCTGACGGCGTACGCGTCTTTCTCACCAGCGGCCGTGACCTACCCCTGGCAGCCAATCAGAGGCAGCAGCGCTCTTTGTCTCCAGTTCCTGTCAATCACTGTGTCCCGGGTGCCTCCTGCTTCACTACCTAACTCTTCCTGAGACCAGGCGCTGCACACTGGCAGTGGGCGCCCCCACCTGGCCTGAGGGTCCACTGAGTCACCCTTTGGCCACCCCGCCCCGCCCCGTCCCCGTGCAGTTGCCAATGAAGAGAGTTGTGGCTCTCCTTTTTGGGGGTTTGCCCTTAGTAATTCCTCAAGATCTATGCAGATTTCCATTCAGTTGCCTTATAGAAAAGATAAAATGATATTAATTCTGCCCTAGTCGGTGTAGCTCAGTTGGTTAGAGCGTTGTCCCGTGCTCCATAAGGCCGCAGGTTCGATTTCGGGTCAGGGCACATACCCACCTTGCGGATTTGATTCCCCAGTCAGTGAGCTGACTGGAGGCAACTGATGATGTTTCTCTCTCTCACATATATGTCTCTCTCGCTCGCTCTTGCTCTCCTTCTCCTTTCCTCTCTCTCTCTAGAATCGTGAAAAACATCCTCCAGTGAGGATTTAAAAACAATTTTTTAAACAATATTAATTCAAAAGCAAAGCTTGACTGACATGTAGCATTTGTTAACATTGCTAAAAATAGTTGTAAATGACTGATGGGTGAGATTCATAAAGAAAAAAGAATGGGCCCAGCCAGTGTGGCTCAGTGGATTGGAGGTTGTCCCATGGACTGAGAGGTCCTAGTTTGATTCCAGGTCAGGGTACATGCCTGGTTTGCGGGCTGATTCCCAGCAGCGGGCATGCAGGAGGCAACCACTAGATGTTTTTCTCTCACGTTGATGTTTCTATCTCTCTCTCTCTAAAAAAATCAATAAAGACATTTTTTTTTTTTAAGAAAAAAGAATGGTCAGTCTATTTAAAGTCAGAATATAGAAACATTTATAACAATATTAGAACATTTTAGGTGGGTTAGGAAGGTATCACCCGCTGCCCCCACTGAGACGTCTGCTTTGTGGCCCCTGTGCTCAGATGTTGGCTTCTAATCCTGTTCTCCAGTAAAGAGATGATGTGATTTATTCCATGCCTCAGGGAAGAGAAATACATGATGAGACACTTTGAATATTTTTAGAGAATCAGTAATTCTGTGAAAAAGGAAAAATCTATAATGATTCTTATATAGAGCAAAATCAAATGTGAGTGGGCTAAGAAAAATTAGTCTGGAATTCCAATAATGTTTACAGAATCTCCTAAAGGTTACTCCACCCAAAACCTTGTGCATACTGAGGTAATGCGCCCCCCCCCCAATTTTTATTAATTTATTTTTTTTCAGATGTTTCTCCTTTTCCCTTCTAAACACCCTCCTCCCCAACCCTCTCCCCAACCCTTTAGCATTGTTGTCTATATCCATTGCTTATGCATACATGCATATAAGTTCTTTGGTTTATCTCATCCATCTCCCTGACCCTCTCCTCTGAGGTTTGTCAGTCTGAATCGTACTCCTTTCTGTGTCTCTGGGTCTATTTTGTTCATCAGCTTATTTTGTTCATTATATTCCACAAATAAGTGAGATCATGTGGTATTTGTCTTTCTCTGATTGACTTATTTTGCTTAGGATAATACTCTCCAGGTCCCTCCATGAAGTCTCAAAGGGTAAGAGATCTCTCTTTCTTACAGCTGCATAGTGTTCCATTGTATATATGTACCACAGCTTTCTTTATCCACTCATCTAATGATGGATGCTTAGGCTGTTTCCAAATCTTAGCTGCTATGAACACAGGGGTACAAATATTCTTACTGATTGGTATTTTGGGCTTCTTAGGATATATTCCTAGAAGTGGGATCACTGGGTCAAATGGAAGATCAATTTTTATGTTTTGAAGAAACACCATATTGTTTTCCATAGTGGCTGCACCAGCCTGCATTCCCACCAGCAGTGTACTAGAATCCCCTTTTCACCACACCCTCGCCAGCACGTATTGTTTGATGATTTGTTGATGGCAGCCATTCTGACAGGTATGAGGTGATACCTCATAGTTGTTTTAATTTGCGTCTCTCTGATGATTAGTGACGTTGAGCATTTTTTCATGTCTCTTGGCCATTTGTATATCCTTTTTGGAGAGGTGTCTATTTAGGTCCTCTGCCCATTTTAAAATTGGGTTCTTTGTCTTAATTTTGTTGAGGTGTATGAGCACTCTATATATTTTGGAAGTTAACCCCTTATCTGATGTATCGTTGGCAATTATGCTCTCCCATGTAGTGGGTTCCCTTTCCATCTTTTTTTTTTTTTCCCGGTTTTCCCAAGGAGTTTATTTGGGCAGACCAGGGGATGGAGGGCCCTGTGTCTAAAAGGTTTTGGGCCTCTTGCTGGCGATGAAGAACCTGATGGGGCAACGGGAACTTGATCTTGGAGTCATGGAACTGCTTGACTGCTGGTCGGCAGCACTTGCTGGCTGCAATCTCTTCCACCTTCATGATCTGGATTGAGTGGGCGCAGGCACGGTGCCAGCCCCCATGTCTCTGTAGCACTGGGTGACAGCGCTCGCGGTGGTCAGGTCCTGATACTCCCCGTACATGTTGTGGGTGCCACTGCAGGAGCCATAGTGCAGCCAGATGCCAAAGTTCTTCACCCGAAGGGGGGGATTTTTTGAACACCTGCCCACAGTAGACGATTTCCCCTGAAGATTTCTTCTTCAGTTGAGACACAAAGTACCAGAAGCGGGACTTAGCAACGACTTGGTTAGGTGCAAAGATGCATGCGGTAGAGGGGTGGTATGCGACACTTGGGGGTGGGTAGGCATTGCCCCACCACCTTGTACTCTGGAAGCGAAGCTTGCCGGAAGCCTTCATAGTGTTCTCTCTGAGTTGGCCACTACCCACAAAAGGAAGTGTCTGCCCTTGCACAGCCACTCACCATCCCCCTTTTCATTTTGATAGTTGGTTCTTTTGCTGTGCAGAAGCTTTTTAGTTTGATGTAGTCCCGTGTATTCATTTATTCCTTTGTTTCTCTTGCCTTAGGCGTTGTATCAGTGAAAATTCTGCTGTGTATGATGTTTGGAATTTTGTTGCCTACATTTTCTTCTAGGATGTTTATGGATTCACGTGTCACATTTAAGTCTTTTATCCATTTTGAGTTTATTCTTGTGTATGGTGTAAGTTGGTGGTCTAGTTTCATTTTTTGCATGTAGTTGTCCTGAGGTAACATTTTGATCTCCACCTAAGTTATCATAAACCAGGTGACAAAGATGAACTGAGTTCCTCATGGGGTGTCAAGTCCCATTGTTACTGGAGGGATGAGGGAGCCAGATTCCCTTGACACTTGTGGGAGTGGTGTGGCTCTTGCAATATCTTCAGAAGATGAATCTTCTAAGACTCACACGGGTGAATGAATGGTCTTTATTAGCATGGAATTATATTCCTGAGGTTGTAATGTCCCAGTTCCCTTAACCCAGTCCTGGAAAAGGGGCAGCTGTGGGTTCAGTAGAACTAGAAACAGGGCCAGTGTCTGGAGTGGCTGTTCCATGATGAAACCAGGTCCAGATCAGCATCAGTCTAGATTCAGTCCATTAATCCATGGCGTGGAGTCCATGTAGCTGTGAGCCATGTGGGTAAATGCAGGGGAATGCTCCCCCTGCAACAGGAGTTTCAAGAGGAGAGTGGGCATTTTCCTCTGTCTAGTTTCAGGAACTTGCAGTGGCCACGCCTATTCTGACAACTGACTGGCTCCCAGGTGTGACAGACAGGTAGGTAAGGACCTTCTCACATCACTCAGATCTTACTGGGCATGCGTCTAAACTGCCTTTGTCCAGTCCCTTCCCCCATCAATCAGCGGGTAACAGACCTACAGTGTTAAACTATAGCTTTCTGGCAAAAGTTGTATAAATGGCATGCCTATATTACCCAGTCTTCCCTTCACTCCTTTCTTGTTAAATAATAACCAGGTTATTGTAACAGCATCACCATCAACTCTATTCAACTTGAATTCTTCAGTTAAAACTTCACCAGGTTGCAAGAAAAGGTGTGTGCTTGAAACAACTCAGAACACAGAGGCTCATAGAAACTGATCTTGGTACTGGGTCAAAGTTCAGAACAGGGGATCAATCCCCAATTGGGCAGCCTTCATTCCAGACCCAGCCTAGGAGAGTGATTTGTTCTGCATTTCTGGGTGAGTCCATTTGTAATCACAAGATGAGAAAATAAAGTGATTTGAAAACATTCAGTAATCTGAGATAACAAATGTCTGACATTCATTTCCAGGAGCATTTAGGGAGATGTTACTGGTTAGATCTTTCCCCACCCTTTGTTAAGAGATCAAGTAGATTACGTATGTAATTGTTTAAAACACCTAAGGGAATTGAATTAATTAGGCTTGTAAGGCAAGTAAAATATTTGGGAGGGGGGGCTTGGCCGATTTGGCTCAGCGGTTACAGCATTGGCCCGCGGACCAATGAGACCCAGGTCCAATTCCAGTCAAGGGTACATACCTCAGTTGAGCTTCTTCCCCAGCCCTGGTCCGGATTGTGTGGGAGGCAACCAGTCGATGTGTCTCTCTCACATCAATGTTTCTCTCTCTCTCTTTCTCTCTCTCTACCTCCCTCCCTCCCTTCCTCCTACTCTATCTGAAGATAAATGGGAAAATGTTCTCAGGTGGAGATTTTAAAAAATAATAATAAAATCAATAAAAAGAAAAAAAATTAATATATTGGGGGACATCAATCTTTCAAATTTATAATCTAATTGAACATTAATAAAAAATGTGAAAGTGAGTTTTATATCCATATTATAAGATTAATCAGTACAGTAATGTTCAGAAGCAAGAGTAAAGGCTTAAGGAAGAGATTTTAGTTTAACTTTAATAAAGTGATTATAAATTAACACACAGTCCAGCCAGTGTGGCTCAGTGGTTGAGCATTGACCCATGCGCCAAGAGGTAGCCAGTTTGATTCCCCGTCAGGGCACATGACTAGGTTGTGGGCCGAATCCCCAGTGGGAGGCATGCAGGAGGCAGCCAATCGATGTTCTCGCTCATCGATGTTTCTATCTCTCTCTCCCTCTCCCTTCCTCTCTTTCTAAAATCAATAAAGAAAAAAAAATTTTTTTTAAATTAACACACAAATAATGCACAAGTCCCCTAACTTGGACGTGGCTCCCCCACTAGATTGTTGCCAAGTGATGGTTTCTCCCATCAGAGCAAAGCCCCTAGCACACAACCACACTATTTGTTGAGTAAATGAATGAATGAGGTTCAGAGTGGAGACTGTAGGCCCAGGGGATCCTAACCCCAGGAAGCCAATCCTATCCCCCAACCCCCACACCATGGCATACAAAGGCAAATAGGGAAGCACATCGCCTTTATTAATACTTCAGCCCACAGGAGACCCCAGGCCAGAGACCAAGCCCAAGGATCTGGCCATCCTTGCCAAGCAGATTAGGCTCTGGTACAGAGGCACTCAGGATGGGTAGTGGATCAGCTCAGGTGATCAGCATTTCCCAATGGCCTGGGAAGAGGCAGAGCAGAGCCCTGGTGAGGTGCCCCTCCTCACCTCCTGGGGGAAACTGAGCCCTTTCCCTCCTCTGGTCTGAGGTTAGTCACTCAGCAGACACTTATATGTGGTCTGAGAGCCTGCCATCCCTCCCAAGAGCTGGGGGCATCCCCAAGTGCAGCTTGAAGGGGTGATAATGGTGGCATGCGGAGAGTGGGAGACAGGGTCACTGCTTCTCACCTTCATAGCCATTTTCCAGAGGGCCACTGCTGCCGCTCTTCACCTTAGCGCCCCCTGGAGTACAGACAGACAGCCAGGGAACCCAGGTCACAGAACTTTTTAGTGTTCCCCCTAGCTTTACCCCAGGCCTTGGGAGACCTCCACCCACCAAAGCTGGGCCCAGCTTTGGCCTCAGCTGTCCATAGGACCCTGGGGGGAGGGGCAGAAGGTAGGAGCACTGAGTCCCTGATAGCCCTTGTTCTGGTCTGTCACGTCCCCATCTTAGTCCAGGTTCCAGGCTCATGCTCAGGGTCCCCTGCTCTCCCTGTTCCTCCCTCCAGTCTCATCCATTCCTGTCCCCCTCACACTCCTTCCACCAAGAATGTCCCCTCCATCTCTGTAGGGAGGTGGGGGCCGGGTGGGGTGGGGTGGGCCTGGGTCCAGGACCCAGCTCCCTAAAGCCACCCCTCATCCCCTTCACAATGTTCTTCCACACACCCCACTTCCTGGCTATCTCGCGACCCCTGGATATGCGCCTCTGGCTCCATATTCAGACTTTAAGGCAGACCCCCCAAGGTTGGAGGGAGGGCCAAGTAGAGCCCCTCAGAGCCTCAGTCTCATCTGAGGAGATGAGACTGGGGTGGGAACCTCTGCCCACGAAACCTGGACATCCAGAATGCCCCCTCTTCCCAGAGTCTCAGAGGCCCCACCCATTTGGCCTTGTCCCAGCAGCCCTTACCAGGGTTCACTCTTCTCCCTGAATTCTCATTTCTTACCATTTCCTTCAGAGGCTGGAGCTGCAGCTTTGGGGTATACCGGTGCTTCCTCACCATACCCTGCAAGAGATCCATGTGATTCATTGCTGACCAGCCCTTAGATGTATGTCTCTTCCACTCTGTCCCCTGGGTCCAACTCACCATTTTTTAAGCCACTGGCCCCAGGGAACTCTGGAGGAGGAAAGAGATCAGAGGCTTTAGTGGCCCCTGAGCCTGGAGCCCCTCCACCCTCCCCAACTCGACCCTCAGGCATTTGGCTGCGGAAGGGCCTCAGCGAAGACCGCAGCTCCCAGACCACCATTCCTGTAACTAAAACCTGCAAGAGACAGATTGGAGAGGGGCTGGAGTGGGAGGTGGACAGCATTGGGGAAGCCAGGGTGACTAGCTCATGAAGAGACTGACAGACGGACTCAGAGGCCACCTGGAGAGGGCCTATCACATCTCCCTGCACAACTTTCCGAAGCCTTCCCCAGCTTCTCTCTGGGCAGCTTCCCTTTCTCCCTGGCCTGTCTGTCACTCCACCCTCACCCGAGATAAGATCGCACCTGGCTCTGGACATGTTCTAGCCCAGTGCATAGTAAATATGCGCTGGGTAAATAAGGAAAGAGACAGACAGACATGACAAAGATAGCAACAAGGAGGGCTTGCCATGAAGGAGGCACCAGGTCATGCCCAAGATGAGGGCCCTGAGGGCTCACCAACTTTCTGAGGTTTGAGGCCATCACCAAAGCCTAGGGTAGAGGAAACGGGGGTCAGAGATAAGATGGGGGAGGGTCAGAAATAGCCACAAGATGGGGTAATGGGAGGAAGAATTCAGACAAAGGGCCTCCTCATCCAGTTCTGCTCCTGGTCCATAGCCATTCAAAGGGTGGTACCCTATGAGGAGAATGGAGATCCAGATTTTCCCAAGTATGGATCTAAGAAACTCTGAGGAGAAAGAAGGGACTCTCCCTATCCACAGGGAAAAAATCAGAATAATTGAGTTTAGAAAGCAGCAGGAGAGAAGGAGGGTAGACTCAGGAGGGGCTTTCCTGGCCTGAACAGCTGAGATAGCCTGGGAATAAGGGTAATGGGGGAGTGACCCCTGATCTAGCATGGGAACAGAGGCAGACGCACACCTGCTTTCTGAGGTTTCGGTCCCCACTGGATGGCTGGAGTCGGTGCTAGGAAGAAAGCCAGGGACAGGAGTGAGCCCAGGGCCAGGCAGGTTGGGACTGCAGCCTGCCATGGGGGCAAGGGCTTAGGGGAGCTGCCAGATTGGGGGTCACATGGGGTCTCAGGGCCAGAGTTCAAGCTTTTCTTCAGCTGGCTCACAGCAAGCCTCACTCGGTTGAAGAACGGGCATAGGGGCTTCTGAGCAGCCCAGCTAGGCCCTGCCCCTCCTGGAACCAGGTATATCAATGCCGCTTGCCCCCCACTCCACACTGACCTGGGAACTTGCCATTCTGCCCTGGGGTAGGGGGCTGGGATCTGGGGCCCCAGCCACTTGCTTTATCAGAAGGGCCCCCTGGAGTGGGAAGCCGGGGGACAGGCCTTGGAGGCATCTTCCCATTGCAAGGACCTAGACGGGAGAAGGGAAAGGGCAGTAAGCCCAGACCAGTGCCTACCCCAACTGCCCTGCTGGCCTTGGCCTGGCCAGTCCACCAGCCTGCAGTAGCTTCTAGGGCAAACACAACTTCCAAAGAGGGTACATTGCCAGGTCAGGAAAAGCCCAGTTCCTGTGGGTCACAGCTTGCTCTGGGGACCAGGTGACCCAGCCACCTTACACATTCCTGCTATTTGCCCACCCAGCCCCAAGGCCTTTCAGCAACATCCCTCCTACCTCCCTCCTGCCCACCTCCTGCCCCTGGGGCCTCACCTGGCTGGGCCCCCAGCCCATTTCCGTTGCCATATCCTGGAGAGGAAAAGCAGGGATGTGCAGGGTAGTATTTGGGAGGGGGGAGGTCCTGAAAGAAGAGGTAGGAGAATGTACAAGACAGAGATAGGGAGCTCTCTCACTTGCCTGGCTTCTGAGGTTTCACACCCCCTTCCAGACCTGTAGGAGAAACAGAAAGACAGCTTCAGAGGGGACCAGCCCCTCCCTAGGAATGAGCCCTCTCTACCTGAGACTGAAACCCTCACTGTATTCAGCTGGTGGACGCCCATTTCCTCCTGGTGTGTATCCTGGGAGGAAGAGCAGGAATGAGGACAGGGGCTGGGGCTGGGGCAGACTTTTGGTAGAGGTGGGAGAGGGGCTCACCTGGCTTTAGAGTGCTCATGCCCCCTCCTAGGCCTGGAGAGAGACAGAGGGAGGCTGAGTGACAGATGGACTCCACTCTGCCCTTTCTCTTTCCCAGGACACAACTCTTTGCCCCATGGAGCCCTATGCCACCTTTTCCCCTCCACCTCTCAGAACTCCATGCCTGCTCCGCCTCTCTCACCTGGCTGGGTCCCTTCACTGGGGAAGGCTCCAGATCCCAGCCTATTTCTATAAACTGGAAAGACAGGCTGGGGGCTGTGAGGGGGACAGGGGTAGAGGGAATAGACTGTTTCTGGAGGTTGCGGGGAGGGGGGGCAATGCTGATACCAATGTCAATTCTAGGAGTTTTCCAACACCAGCAATTTTCAGATACCAGCTGGGTATCCTACAATTCAATTCTGACACTATCTACCGGGACTGAGCCCTTAAATGTGGGATCTACCGGGAGATAGTGTCAGATCCCACATTTAAGGGCTCAGTCCCACAACGCTGTGCCCTCCTTCCACTTCAGGTGCCAGGTGCCAATCCAGGTTGTCGTCAGTGCTTCTGATCAGCCAGCTATATAAAGCAGAGGTTCCCATGATCCCCTCTTTGGATTCAATTAATTTTCTAGAATGGGTCCCAAAACTGAGGAAAACACAGACTAGATCACAAGTTTATTATAAAAGGATTCAGCTCATGCCCAGCCCGTGTGGCTCAGTGCATTGAACTTTGTCCCATGGACTGAGGTCCCAGTTGGATTTCCACCTAAAAAAGTTGCAACCCTCCAATCATGAGGTGGGTTCCCCTGGCAACCAGCCCACCCATAGGTGACCTAGGGGCTTTCCAAAAGTCACCTCATTAACACAACAAAAGAAACCTCGCATTTAGGAAATTCCAAAGCTTTTAGGAGCCAGCTCTGAGCCAGGAATGGGAGGCAGACAAATATATATTTCTTTTTTTTTTTTTATCCTCACCTGAGGATATTTTTTTCCATTTTTTGTTCAGATAGAGTGGGAGGGAGAGAGAGAAAGAGAGAGAGAGAGAGGAAGAGAGAAACATCGACATGAAAGGGACACATGGAGTGGCTGCCCCCGCACAACCAACCAGGGCAGGGAACAAATTGCAACCAAGGTACATGCCCTTAGCGGGAACCGAACCCGGGTCTCTCTGGACCACAGCCTGACGCTCTAACCGCTGAGCCAAACTGGCCAAGGCTATTTCTTATATTTATTTATTTATTTTTGTTAATCCTTCCCCTGAGGATATTTTTGCCATTGATTTTTAGAGAGAGTGGAAGGGAAGGAAGAAGGAGGAAAAGAGGGAGAGAGATCAAGAGAGAGAAACATTGACATGAAAGAGACACATGGATCAGCTGCCTCCTGCGCTTGCCTGACTGGGGTCCACGGATCCAACCAGCTGACCCTTCGGTGCTCCAACCGCAGCCCTAACCACTGAGTGATACTGTCCAGAGCTATATTTCTTATTATAAATCACAGTATCACAGAGTGGGTAGAGAGAAAGGGTTTTTCTGGCTTCTGAGGCTTTATACCTCACCAAAGCCTACAGAAGAGATGGGAGCAGGTGAGGGATCCATTATCCATCCACTGGGCATCTCCTCCAGAACCTAGCATCTGGCCCATCCACCACTTCCCCACCCCACTACCTGGTCCAGGGCCTGTGGAGACAGGAGAGGGAGAGGCAGAAGAAGGCTGGGAGCTGGGCTGCTTTTTCCCCTAGTTTAGGAACCAGAAGCCCTCTCTGCCACATGCCACCTCCATTTACTTGCCAACTCTGTGTTCTCCAAGTCTGACAGGAGCCCACAAGAGGACCATCAGAACAGGGTCTGGGTGAAATCACCAACCCCCCTCCGTGAGCGCCCAACTCTCTTTTTCCAGCTTCTATCAACCCCTCAGGACATACCGGCTTTGTAGCCATCCTGAGCTGGGGGCCAGTAAGGGTGGGAAGGATGAACAGGGGAGTTGGGACCGTGGATAAGGTGGGGTGAAGGCCGGCATGTGTCCTTCAAAGCCAAGCCAGAACCAAGGATCATGGAGCCTGCCTTCAGCCTCTTTCAATCAATCCTGGCCCTCAACAGCCGGGAGGGAAATGGGAGAGGATGCTGACATGCAGATCCCCAACTCACACTCCACCAGTCTCACCTGGCTGGGCTCCCACCCCATTTCCGAAACCTGGAGGGACACATTCAAGTGGAGTGTAAATGGGGGACTGGAAGCTCTGAATTTTAAGAAAATAGAGAAAGTGAGGCAGCATTGAGGCTCACCTGGGTTCTGGGATTTTACACCTGTTCCCACGCCTGGTGGAGAGAAAAGCAACAGGTGAGGGACCCAAGCCCCACCCCTGCACCTCCCCAGAACCTGGCCTACCCATACCTGGTCCATAGCCGTTTTGAGATGCAGGGCCTGTGGGAAGAAGGTGGGGAATTATAAAGCTGGCTGTGGGCTACAGGGCTGAGGCCAGCACTGGGGGTCCCCTGGTCCTGCCTCCAACTCTGGCACCATTGTCCTTGGTGCCCCTGACACCCTCGATCCCTGAACAAGGTAAATCCCTCTTCTTCGAGTCATGCACAGACACCTACCTGCTCAATGCACTGATTATTAAGGGAGGTGGTCAAAGGGAGAAGCCTGAGAGAGATGAGCGGGGACAGGATGGCTGTCCTCTCACCCCTTTCTAGGCCTGGGGAGACAGAGAGGCTAACAGAACCTCTGCCAGGCCTCCCAGCTCTTCCTTCTCTCCTCCTTCCCATTCCTCAGGACCCAAGCCCAGCTCCCCTCACCCAGCCCAGACAATCCCAGTCCATTTCCATTACCGTATACTGGGGAGGAACACTGGGCTGGCCTGAGGGCAGTATGTGGGTGGGTTCAGTAAAATCAGCACAGAGTCAGGTAGCCTCAGAGTGGACGTGGGGGTGCCAGGGGTCTTTCACGTCACCTGGAATCTGAGGTTTCACTCTCCCTCCCAGGCCATTGGTCAATATCCCATCTGCCCAATACTGGGCATCTAGGTTTCTTCGCCACAGCCTGCCCCAACACCTGCCCCAGTTCCTAACCCTGAACTCTCTTTCTAAGAAGCTGGACTCCTGCCCAGGAGAAAGCTGATGCAGATCCTGGAGGGAGACAGGGATTTTTGTAGGGTGTGCTCTGGCTACAGAGGTTACATGAATAGAGAGACAAGACTACAGCAGGACTCAACCGGCTTCTGGGGCTTCAAGCTCACCCCAAAGCCTAGAGAAGATTTACTAGCAGGTGAGGAACCTTGGAATCCCCTCTCAGGGCGTCCACAGGTTCCTACCCAATCCTACCTGCTCCATATCCATTCTGGGCTGCTGGGCCTGGGGGAAAGGGAGGGTGAGCTGAAAAGCATAGTGGTCTGGCTGAGTTGGGGGTAGGGTCCCACTCTTGGACCAAAGCAGAAAACTGTGTTGAAGAGGCTTCTGCCTAGAGCCCCTCAATTATTCACCAATCCTGCCCCTCCGAGGCCTGGGTGGGAGGCAGGAGGAGAAACCCAGACATAGACACACAGCCTCCCACTAGTCCTACCTGGCTGCACTCCCCACCTGTTCCTAAATCCTGGGGGCACATTTCCAAGTGGGGTGTCAATGGGGGGCAGGGAGCTCTGAGGTTTGAGAAGGTGGAGAAAGACAGGCAGGGTTGAGGCTCACCTGGCTTCTGGAGTTTCACACCTGCTCCAACGCCTGGTGGAGAGACAGGCATCAGGTGAGGGACCCAAGCCCCACCCCGGCACCTCCCCAGAACCCTGGCCTACCCATACCTGGTCCATAGCCATTTTGAGCTGCAGGGCCTGCGGGGAGAATGTAGGGAAATGATAAGCTGGCTGTGGGCAATGAGGCTGAGGCCAGCACACGGGGTCCAGCACAGATCATCCCAGTCCATTTCCATTATCGTATCCTGGGGAGGAAACCTGCGCTGGCCTGAAGGGCAGTATGTGGAGGGGTTCAGTAAAGGGTGACAGAGATAGGCAGCCACAGAGGTGAAGTGGTGGTGCCGGGGGACTTTCACCTCACCTGGATTCTGAGGTTTCACTCCCCCTCCCAGGACATTGGTCAATACCCCATCACCCCAACACTGGGCATCAAGTTCTCTGTACCAGAGCCAGCTCCAGCCCCTCCTCCAGCTCCTGTCCCAGCACCTGCCGCAGCCCCTTCCCCAGTTTCTAACTGTGCCCTCTATTTCTAAAAAGCTGGGCTCCTGCCCCAGAGAAATGTGATGAAGATCCTGCATGGCGACAGAGATTTGAGTATGGGGAGCTCTAGCTCCAGAGGATATGAGACAAGAAAGACAAGAATAGAGGAGGACCCACCAGGATTCTGGGCTTCAAGCCCCCTACTGAAAGCCTGAGAGGGTGAGGGACCTTTGAGCACCTGCTCAGGGCCTCCCGGGTTTCCTACACATTCCTACCTGCTCCATATCCATTCTGGGCTGCTGGGCCAGGGGAAAAAGGACGGGTTTGGCTGAGTTGGGGGTAGGGTCCCACTCTTGGACCAAGCCAGAAAACTGTGTTGAAGAGGCTTCTGCCTAGAGCCCCTCAATTATTCACCAATCCTGCCCCTCCGAGGCCTGGGTGGGAGGCAGTAGGAGAAACCCAGAAATAGACACACAGCCTCCCACTAGTCCTACCTGGCTGCACTCACCACCTGTTCTTAAATCCTGGGGGCACATTTCCAAGTGGGGTGTCAATGGGGGGCAGAGAGCTCTGAGGTTTGAGAAGGTGGAGAAAGACAGGCAGGGTTGAGGCTCACCTGGCTTCTGGGGTTTCACACCTGCTCCAACGCCTGGTGGAGAGACAGGCAACAGGTGAGGGACCCAAGCTCAACCACTGCACCTCCCCAGAACCCTGGCCTACCCATACCTGGTCCATAGCCATTTTGAGCTGCAGGGCCTGTGGAGAGACGGTGGGGGATTGATAAAGCTGGCTGTGGCCCACGGAGGTCCCTTGTCTTGCCTCCAACTCCTCCCCCATGGTCCTTGGTGCCCTTGACACCCTCGACTCCTGAAGCTGGTAGTGTCCCTCTTCTTGGAGTCATGCACAGACCCCTGCTCTCTGCACTCATTATTAAGGGAGGTGGTTCAAGCGAGAGCCCTGAGAGATATGAGGGGGACAGGATGGCTGTCCCCAGCCCTTTCTAGCCCTGGGGAGACAGAGAGGCTCACAAAACCTCTGCCAGGCCTCCCAGCTCTTCCTTCTCTCCACCTTCCCCATCCCTCAGGACGTGGCCCAGCTCAGCTCACCCAGCCCAAGCAATCCCAGTCCATTTCCATTATCGTATCCTGGGGAGGAAACCTGGGCTGGCCTGAGGGGCAGTATGTGGAGGGGCTCAGTAAAGGGTGACAGAGATAGGCAGCCTCAGAGGCGAGGTGGGGGTGCCAGGGTTTGTCACCTCACCTGGTTTACTGAGGTTTCACTCCCCCTCCCAGGACATTGATCAATACCCCATCACCCCAAAATTGGACATCTAGTTCTCTTCGCCACAGCCTGCCCCAACACCTGCCCCAGATCCTAACCCGGCACTCTTTCTCAGAAGCTAAGCTCCTGCCCCAGAGAAAGCTGATGCAGATCCTGAATGGAGACAGAAATGTGAGTATGGGTTGCTCTGGCTCCAGAGGTTACGTGATTAGAAAGACAAGACTAGAGCAGGACCCACCCAGCTTCTGGGCTTCATGCCCCCCCCCCAAAGCCTGAAGAAGATTGGGGAGCCGGTGAGGGACCTTTGAGCCCCCTCTCAGGGCCTCCGCCCTTTCCTATGCACTCCTACCTGCTCCATATCCATTCTGGGCTGCTGGGCCTGGGGAAAACGGAGGGGTTTGGCTGAGGTGGAGGTAAGGTCTCTTCTCTTGGACCAAGCCAGAAAGCTTATATCCTAGAGGCTTCCCCCTACTGCCCCTCAATTATTCGCCAATGGTGCCCCTCCAAGGCCTGGTTGGGAGGCAGGAGAAGACAACGTAGACGCGGACACAAAGCCCCGCAACGGTCTCAACTGGCTGTGCTCGCACCCGGTTCCAAAATCTTGATGGGATATTTCCAAGTTGGGTGTGAATGGGGCGCAAGGAGCTCTGAGGTTTGAGAAGGTGGAGAAAGACAGGCAGGGTTGAGGCTCACCTGGCTTCTGGGGTTTCACACCTGCTCCAACGCCTGGTGGAGAGACAGGCATCAGGTGAGGGACCCAAGCCCCACCCCTGCACCTCCCCAGAACCCTGGCCTACCCATACCTGGTCCGTAGCCATTTTGAGCTGCAGGGCCTGTGGAGAGACGGTGGGGGAATGATAAAGCTGGCTGTGGCCTACGGGGGTCCCTTGTCTTGCCTCCAACTCCTCCCCCATGGTCCTTGGTGCCCCTGACACCCTCGACTCCTGAAGCTGGTAGTGTCCCTCTTCTTGGAGTCATGCACAGAACCCTGCTCAATGCACTCATTATTAAGGGAGGTGGTTAAAGAGAGAGACCCGAGAGAGATGCGCGGGGACAGGATGGCTGTCCTCTCGGCCCTTTCTAGCCCTGGCGAGACAGAGAGGCTCACAAAACTTCTGCCAGGCCTCCCAGCTCTTCCTTCTCTTCTTCCCCATCCCTCAGGACCCTGGCCCAGCTCCCTCACCCAATCCAGACAATCCCAGTCCATTTCCATTATCGGATCTTGGGGACCAAACTGGGCTGGCCGGAGGGGCAGTGTGTAGGTGGGTTCAGTAAAATCAAGACAGAGTCAGGTAGCCTCAGAGTGGACGTGGGGGTGCCAGGGTCTTTCACCTCACCTGGTGTCTGAGGTTTCACTCTCCCTCCCAGGCCATTGGTCAATACCCCATCACCCCAAATCTGGACATCTAGTTCTCTGGGCCACAGCTTGCTCCAGGCCCTGCTCCAGCCCCTGCCCATTTCTAACCCTCCCCTGTCTCTCTAAGAAGCCTGGTGTCCTGCCCCAGAGAAAGCTCATGCAGATCCTCGAGAGAGACAGGGATGCGAGTAGAAGGTGCCCTGGCTTCAGAGGGTACATGGATGAGAGACTAGACGACAGCAGGACTTACCGGGCTTCTGAGGCTTCATGCCCCCACCAAAGCCTGAAGGAGATTGGGGAGCAGGTGAGGGACCTGGGAGCCTCCTCTCAGGGTCTCCCAGGTTCTTACCAATGCCTACCTGCTCCATATCCATTCTGGGCTGCTGGGCCTGGGGGAAAGGGAGGGTGAGCTGAAAAGCACAGTGGTCTGGCTGAGTTGGGGGTAGGGTCCCACTCTTGGACCAAGCCAGAAAACTGTGTTGAAGAGGCTTCTGCCTAGAGCCCCTCAATTATTCACCAATCCTGCCCCTCCGAGGCCTGGGTGGGAGGCAGGAGGAGAAACCCAGACATAGACACACAGCCTCCCACTAGTCCTACCTAGCTGCACTCCCCACCTGTTCTTAAATCCTGGGGGCACATTTCCAAGTGGGGTATCAATGGGGGGCAGGGAGCTCTGAGGTTTGAGAAGGTGGAGAAAGACAGGCAGGGTTGAGGCTCACCTGGCTTCTGGGGTTTCACACCTGCTCCAACGCCTGGTGGAGAGACAGGCATCAGGTGAGGGACCCAAGCCCCACCCCTGCACCTCCCCAGAACCCTGGCCTACCCATACCTGGTCCATAGCCATTTTGAGCTGCAGGGCCTGTGGAGAGACGGTGGGGGATTGATAAAGCTGGCTGTGGCCCACATAGGTCCCTTGTCTTGCCTCCAACTCCTCCCCCATGGTCCTTGGTGCCCTTGACACCCTCGACTCCTGAAGCTGGTAGTGTCCCTCTTCTTGGAGTCATGCACAGACCCCTGCTCTCTGCACTCATTATTAAGGGAGGTGGTTCAAGCGAGAGCCCTGAGAGATATGAGGGGGACAGGATGGCTGTCCCCAGCCCTTTCTAGCCCTGGCGAGACAGAGAGGCTCACAAAACCTCTGCCAGGCCTCCCAGCTCTTCCTTCTCTCCACCTTCCCCATCCCTCAGGACGTGGCCCAGCTCAGCTCACCCAGCCCAGAGCAATCCCAGTCCATTTCCATTATCGTATCCTGGGGAAGGAAACCTGGGCTGGCCTGAGGGGCAGTATGTGGAGGGGCTCAGTAAAGGGTGACAGAGATAGGCAGCCTCAGAGGTGAGGTGGGGGTGCCAGGGTTTCTCACCTCACCTGGTTTACTGAGGTTTCACTCCCCCTCCCAGGACATTGATCAATACCCCATCACCCCAAAACTGGACATGTAGTTCTCTTCGCCACAGCCTGCCCCAACACCTGCCCCAGTTCCTAACCCGGCACTCTTTCTCAGAAGCTAAGCTCCTGCCCCAGAGAAAGCTGATGCAGATCCTGAATGGAGACAGAAATGTGAGTATGGGTTGCTCTGGCTCCAGAGGTTACGTGATTAGAAAGACAAGACTAGAGCAGGACCCACCCAGCTTCTGGGCTTCATGCCACCCCCCCCCAAAGCCTGAAGAAGATTGGGGAGCCGGTGAGGGACCTTTGAGCCCCCTCTCAGGGCCTCCGCCCTTTCCTATGCACTCCTACCTGCTCCATATCCATTCTGGGCTGCTGGGCCTGGGGAAAACGGAGGGGTTTGGCTGAGGTGGAGGTAAGGTCTCTTCTCTTGGACCAAGCCAGAAAGCTTATATCCTAGAGGCTTCCCCCTACTGCCCCTCAATTATTCGCCAATGGTGCCCCTCCAAGGCCTGGTTGGGAGGCAGGAGAAGACAACGTAGACGCGGACACAAAGCCCCGCAACGGTCTCAACTGGCTGTGCTCGCACCCGGTTCCAAAATCTTGATGGGATATTTCCAAGTTGGGTGTGAATGGGGCGCAAGGAGCTCTGAGGTTTGAGAAGGTGGAGAAAGACAGGCAGGGTTGAGGCTCACCTGGCTTCTGGGGTTTCACACCTGCTCCAACGCCTGGTGGAGAGACAGGCATCAGGTGAGGGACCCAAGCCCCACCCCTGCACCTCCCCAGAACCCTGGCCTACCCATACCTGGTCCGTAGCCATTTTGAGCTGCAGGGCCTGTGGAGAGACAGTGGGGGAATGATAAAGCTGGCTGTGGCCTACGGGGGTCCCTTGTCTTGCCTCCAACTCCTCCCCCATGGTCCTTGGTGCCCCTGACACCCTCGACTCCTGAAGCTGGTAGTGTCCCTCTTCTTGGAGTCATGCACAGAACCCTGCTCAATGCACTCATTATTAAGGGAGGTGGTTAAAGAGAGAGAGACCCGAGAGGGATGCGCGGGGACAGGATGGCTGTCCTCTCGGCCCTTTCTAGCCCTGGCGAGACAGAGAGGCTCACAAAACCTCTGCCAGGCCTCCCAGCTCTTCCTTCTCTTCTTCCCCATCCCTCAGGACCCTGGCCCAGCTCCCTCACCCAATCCAGACAATCCCAGTCCATTTCCATTATCGGATCTTGGGGACCAAACTGGGCTGGCCTGAGGGGCAGTGTGTAGGTGGGTTCAGTAAAATCAAGACAGAGTCAGGTAGCCTCAGAGTGGACGTGGGGGTGCCAGGGTCTTTCACCTCACCTGGTGTCTGAGGTTTCACTCTCCCTCCCAGGCCATTGGTCAATACCCCATCACCCCAAATCTGGACATCTAGTTCTCTGGGCCACAGCTTGCTCCAGGCCCTGCTCCAGCCCCTGCCCGTTTCTAACCCTCCCCTGTCTCTCTAAGAAGCCTGGTGTCCTGCCCCAGAGAAAGCTCATGCAGATCCTCGAGAGAGACAGGGATGCGAGTAGAAGGTGCCCTGGCTTCAGAGGGTACATGGATGAGAGACTAGACGACAGCAGGACTTACCGGGCTTCTGAGGCTTCATGCCCCCACCAAAGCCTGAAGGAGATTGGGGAGCAGGTGAGGGACCTGGGAGCCTCCTCTCAGGGTCTCCCAGGTTCTTACCAACGCCTACCTGCTCCATATCCATTCTGGGCTGCTGGGCCTGGGGGAAAGGGAGGGTGAGCTGAAAAGCACAGTGGTCTGGCTGAGTTGGGGGTAGGGTCTCACTCTTGGACCAAGCCAGAAAACTGTGTTGAAGAGGCTTCTGCCTAGAGCCCCTCAATTATTCACCAATCCTGCCCCTCCGAGGCCTGGGTGGGAGGCAGGAGGAGAAACCCAGACATAGACACACAGCCTCCCACTAGTCCTACCTAGCTGCACTCCCCACCTGTTCTTAAATCCTGGGGGCACATTTCCAAGTGGGGTATCAATGGGGGGCAGGGAGCTCTGAGGTTTGAGAAGGTGGAGAAAGACAGGCAGGGTTGAGGCTCACCTGGCTTCTGGGGTTTCACACCTGCTCCAACGCCTGGTGGAGAGACAGGCAACAGGTGAGGGACCCAAGCTCAACCCCTGCACCTCCCCAGAACCCTGGCCTACCCATACCTGGTCCATAGCCATTTTGAGCTGCAGGGCCTGTGGAGAGAAGGTGGGGGATTGATAAAGCTGGCTGTGGTCCACATAGGTCCCTTGTCTTGCCTCCAACTCCTCCCCCATGGTCCTTGGTGCCCTTGACACCCTCGACTCCTGAAGCTGGTAGTGTCCCTCTTCTTGGAGTCATGCACAGAACCCTGCTCAGCTGCACTCATTATTAAGGGAGGTGGTTCAAGCGAGAGCCCTGAGAGATATGAGGGGGGACAGGATGGCTGTCCCCAGCCCTTTCTAGCCCTGGGGAGACAGAGAGGCTCACAAAACCTCTGCCAGGCCTCCCACCTCTTCCTTCTCTCCACCTTCCCCATCCCTCAGGACGTGGCCCAGCTCAGCTCACCCAGCCCGAGCAATCCCAGTCCATTTCCATTATCGTATCCTGGGGAGGAAACCTGGGCTGGCCTGAGGGGCAGTATGTGGAGGGGCTCAGTAAAGGGTGACAGAGATAGGCAGCCTCAGAGGCGAGGTGGGGGTGCCAGGGTTTCTCACCTCACCTGGTTTACTGAGGTTTCACTCCCCCTCCCAGGACATTGATCAATACCCCATCACCCCAAAACTGGACATGTAGTTCTCTTCGCCACAGCCTGCCCCAACACCTGCCCCAGTTCCTAACCCGGCACTCTTTCTCAGAAGCTAAGCTCCTGCCCCAGAGAAAGCTGATGCAGATCCTGAATGGAGACAGAAATGTGAGTATGGGTTGCTCTGGCTCCAGAGGTTACGTGATTAGAAAGACAAGACTAGAGCAGGACCCACCCAGCTTCTGGGCTTCATGCCCCCCCCCAAAGCCTGAAGAAGATTGGGGAGCCGGTGAGGGACCTTTGAGCCCCCTCTCAGGGCCTCCGCCCTTTCCTATGCACTCCTACCTGCTCCATATCCATTCTGGGCTGCTGGGCCTGGGGAAAAAGGAGGGGTTTGGCTGAGGTGGAGGTAAGGTCTCTTCTCTTGGACCAAGCCAGAAAGCTTATATCCTAGAGGCTTCCCCCTACTGCCCCTCAATTATTCGCCAATGGTGCCCCTCCAAGGCCTGGTTGGGAGGCAGGAGAAGACAACGTAGACGCGGACACAAAGCCCCGCAACGGTCTCAACTGGCTGTGCTCGCACCCGGTTCCAAAATCTTGATGGGATATTTCCAAGTTGGGTGTGAATGGGGCGCAAGGAGCTCTGAGGTTTGAGAAGGTGGAGAAAGACAGGCAGGGTTGAGGCTCACCTGGCTTCTGGGGTTTCACACCTGCTCCAAAGCCTGGTGGAGAGACAGGCATCAGGTGAGGGACCCAAGCCCCACCCCTGCACCTCCCCAGAACCCTGGCCTACCCATACCTGGTCCGTAGCCATTTTGAGCTGCAGGACCTGTGGAGAGACGGTGGGGGAATGATAAAGCTGGCTGTGGCCTACGGGGGTCCCTTGTCTTGCCTCCAACTCCTCCCCCATGTTCCTTGGTGCCCCTGACACCCTCGACTCCTGAAGCTGGTAGTGTCCCTCTTCTTGGAGTCATGCACAGAACCCTGCTCAATGCACTCATTATTAAGGGAGGTGGTTAAAGAGAGAGAGACCCGAGAGGGATGCGCGGGGACAGGATGGCTGTCCTCTCGGCCCTTTCTAGCCCTGGCGAGACAGAGAGGCTCACAAAACCTCTGCCAGGCCTCCCAGCTCTTCCTTCTCTTCTTCCCCATCCCTCAGGACCCTGGCCCAGCTCCCTCACCCAATCCAGACAATCCCAGTCCATTTCCATTATCGGATCTTGGGGACCAAACTGGGCTGGCCTGAGGGGCAGTGTGTAGGTGGGTTCAGTAAAATCAAGACAGAGTCAGGTAGCCTCAGAGTGGACGTGGGGGTGCCAGGGTCTTTCACCTCACCTGGTGTCTGAGGTTTCACTCTCCCTCCCAGGCCATTGGTCAATACCCCATCACCCCAAATCTGGACATCTAGTTCTCTGGGCCACAGCTTGCTCCAGGCCCTGCTCCAGCCCCTGCCCGTTTCTAACCCTCCCCTGTCTCTCTAAGAAGCCTGGTGTCCTGCCCCAGAGAAAGCTCATGCAGATCCTCGAGAGAGACAGGGATGCGAGTAGAAGGTGCCCTGGCTTCAGAGGGTACATGGATGAGAGACTAGACGACAGCAGGACTTACCGGGCTTCTGAGGCTTCATGCCCCCACCAAAGCCTGAAGGAGATTGGGGAGCAGGTGAGGGACCTGGGAGCCTCCTCTCAGGGTCTCCCAGGTTCTTACCAACGCCTACCTGCTCCATATCCATTCTGGGCTGCTGGGCCTGGGGGAAAGGGAGGGTGAGCTGAAAAGCACAGTGGTCTGGCTGAGTTGGGGGTAGGGTCCCACTCTTGGACCAAGCCAGAAAACTGTGTTGAAGAGGCTTCTGCCTAGAGCCCCTCAATTATTCACCAATCCTGCCCCTCCGAGGCCTGGGTGGGAGGCAGGAGGAGAAACCCAGACATAGACACACAGCCTCCCACTAGTCCTACCTGGCTGCACTCCCCACCTGTTCTTAAATCCTGGGGGCACATTTCCAAGTGGGGTGTCAATGGGGGGCAGGGAGCTCTGAGGTTTGAGAAGGTGGAGAAAGACAGGCAGGGTTGAGGCTCACCTGGCTTCTGGGGTTTCACACCTGCTCCAACGCCTGGTGGAGAGACAGGCAACAGGTGAGGGACCCAAGCCCCACCCCTGCACCTCCCCAGAACCCTGGCCTACCCATACCTGGTCCATAGCCATTTTGAGCTGCAGGGCCTGTGGAGAGACGGTGGGGGATTGATAAAGCTGGCTGTGGCCCACGGAGGTCCCTTGTCTTGCCTCCAACTCCTCCCCCATGGTCCTTGGTGCCCTTGACACCCTCGACTCCTGAAGCTGGTAGTGTCCCTCTTCTTGGAGTCATGCACAGAACCCTGCTCAGTGCACTCATTATTAAGGGAGGTGGTTCAAGCGAGAGCCCTGAGAGATATGAGGGGGGACAGGATGGCTGTCCCCAGCCCTTTCTAGCCCTGGGGAGACAGAGAGGCTCACAAAACCTCTGCCAGGCCTCCCAGCTCTTCCTTCTCTCCACCTTCCCCATCCCTCAGGACGTGGCCCAGCTCAGCTCACCCAGCCCGAGCAATCCCAGTCCATTTCCATTATCGTATCCTGGGGAGGAAACCTGGGCTGGCCTGAGGGGCAGTATGTGGTGGGGCTCAGTAAAGGGTGACAGAGATAGGCAGCCTCAGAGGCGAGGTGGGGGTGCCAGGGTTTCTCACCTCACCTGGTTTACTGAGGTTTCACTCCCCCTCCCAGGACATTGATCAATACCCCATCACCCCAAAACTGGACATCTAGTTCTCTTCGCCACAGCCTGCCCCAACACCTGCCCCAGTTCCTAACCCGGCACTCTTTCTCAGAAGCTAAGCTCCTGCCCCAGAGAAAGCTGATGCAGATCCTGAATGGAGACAGAAATGTGAGTATGGGTTGCTCTGGCTCCAGAGGTTACGTGATTAGAAAGACAAGACTAGAGCAGGACCCACCCAGCTTCTGGGCTTCATGCCCCCCCCCCAAAGCCTGAAGAAGATTGGGGAGCCGGTGAGGGACCTTTGAGCCCCCTCTCAGGGCCTCCGCCCTTTCCTATGCACTCCTACCTGCTCCATATCCATTCTGGGCTGCTGGGCCTGGGGAAAAGGGAGGGGTTTGGCTGAGGTGGAGGTAAGGTCTCTTCTCTTGGACCAAGCCAGAAAGCTTATATCCTAGAGGCTTCCCCCTACTGCCCCTCAATTATTCGCCAATGGTGCCCCTCCAAGGCCTGGTTGGGAGGCAGGAGAAGACAACGTAGACGCGGACACAAAGCCCCGCAACGGTCTCAACTGGCTGTGCTCGCACCCGGTTCCAAAATCTTGATGGGATATTTCCAAGTTGGGTGTGAATGGGGCGCAAGGAGCTCTGAGGTTTGAGAAGGTGGAGAAAGACAGGCAGGGTTGAGGCTCACCTGGCTTCTGGGGTTTCACACCTGCTCCAACGCCTGGTGGAGAGACAGGCATCAGGTGAGGGACCCAAGCCCCACCCCTGCACCTCCCCAGAACCCTGGCCTACCCATACCTGGTCCGTAGCCATTTTGAGCTGCAGGGCCTGTGGAGAGACGGTGGGGGAATGATAAAGCTGGCTGTGGCCTACGGGGGTCCCTTGTCTTGCCTCCAACTCCTCCCCCATGGTCCTTGGTGCCCCTGACACCCTCGACTCCTGAAGCTGGTAGTGTCCCTCTTCTTGGAGTCATGCACAGAACCCTGCTCAATGCACTCATTATTAAGGGAGGTGGTTAAAGAGAGAGAGACCCGAGAGGGATGCGCGGGGACAGGATGGCTGTCCTCTCGGCCCTTTCTAGCCCTGGCGAGACAGAGAGGCTCACAAAACCTCTGCCAGGCCTCCCAGCTCTTCCTTCTCTTCTTCCCCATCCCTCAGGACCCTGGCCCAGCTCCCTCACCCAATCCAGACAATCCCAGTCCATTTCCATTATCGGATCTTGGGGACCAAACTGGGCTGGCCTGAGGGGCAGTGTGTAGGTGGGTTCAGTAAAATCAAGACAGAGTCAGGTAGCCTCAGAGTGGACGTGGGGGTGCCAGGGTCTTTCACCTCACCTGGTGTCTGAGGTTTCACTCTCCCTCCCAGGCCATTGGTCAATACCCCATCACCCCAAATCTGGACATCTAGTTCTCTGGGCCACAGCTTGCTCCAGGCCCTGCTCCAGCCCCTGCCCGTTTCTAACCCTCCCCTGTCTCTCCAAGAAGCCTGGTGTCCTGCCCCAGAGAAAGCTCATGCAGATCCTCGAGAGAGACAGGGATGCGAGTAGAAGGTGCCCTGGCTTCAGAGGGTACATGGATGAGAGACTAGACGACAGCAGGACTTACCGGGCTTCTGAGGCTTCATGCCCCCACCAAAGCCTGAAGGAGATTGGGGAGCAGGTGAGGGACCTGGGAGCCTCCTCTCAGGGTCTCCCAGGTTCTTACCAACGCCTACCTGCTCCATATCCATTCTGGGCTGCTGGGCCTGGGGGAAAGGGAGGGTGAGCTGAAAAGCACAGTGGTCTGGCTGAGTTGGGGGTAGGGTCCCACTCTTGGACCAAGCCAGAAAACTGTGTTGAAGAGGCTTCTGCCTAGAGCCCCTCAATTATTCACCAATCCTGCCCCTCCGAGGCCTGGGTGGGAGGCAGGAGGAGAAACCCAGACATAGACACACAGCCTCCCACTAGTCCTACCTGGCTGCACTCCCCACCTGTTCTTAAATCCTGGGGGCACATTTCCAAGTGGGGTGTCAATGGGGGGCAGGGAGCTCTGAGGTTTGAGAAGGTGGAGAAAGACAGGCAGGGTTGAGGCTCACCTGGCTTCTGGGGTTTCACACCTGCTCCAACGCCTGGTGGAGAGACAGGCAACAGGTGAGGGACCCAAGCCCCACCCCTGCACCTCCCCAGAACCCTGGCCTACCCATACCTGGTCCATAGCCATTTTGAGCTGCAGGGCCTGTGGAGAGACGGTGGGGGATTGATAAAGCTGGCTGTGGCCCACGGAGGTCCCTTGTCTTGCCTCCAACTCCTCCCCCATGGTCCTTGGTGCCCTTGACACCCTCGACTCCTGAAGCTGGTAGTGTCCCTCTTCTTGGAGTCATGCACAGAACCCTGCTCAGTGCACTCATTATTAAGGGAGGTGGTTCAAGCGAGAGCCCTGAGAGATATGAGGGGGGACAGGATGGCTGTCCCCAGCCCTTTCTAGCCCTGGGGAGACAGAGAGGCTCACAAAACCTCTGCCAGGCCTCCCAGCTCTTCCTTCTCTCCACCTTCCCCATCCCTCAGGACGTGGCCCAGCTCAGCTCACCCAGCCCGAGCAATCCCAGTCCATTTCCATTATCGTATCCTGGGGAGGAAACCTGGGCTGGCCTGAGGGGCAGTATGTGGTGGGGCTCAGTAAAGGGTAACAGAGATAGGCAGCCTCAGAGGCGAGGTGGGGGTGCCAGGGTTTGTCACCTCACCTGGTTTACTGAGGTTTCACTCCCCCTCCCAGGACATTGATCAATACCCCATCACCCCAAAACTGGACATCTAGTTCTCTTCGCCACAGCCTGCCCCAACACCTGCCCCAGTTCCTAACCCGGCACTCTTTCTCAGAAGCTAAGCTCCTGCCCCAGAGAAAGCTGATGCAGATCCTGAATGGAGACAGAAATGTGAGTATGGGTTGCTCTGGCTCCAGAGGTTACGTGATTAGAAAGACAAGACTAGAGCAGGACCCACCCAGCTTCTGGGCTTCATGCCCCCCCCCCAAAGCCTGAAGAAGATTGGGGAGCCGGTGAGGGACCTTTGAGCCCCCTCTCAGGGCCTCCGCCCTTTCCTATGCACTCCTACCTGCTCCATATCCATTCTGGGCTGCTGGGCCTGGGGAAAAAGGAGGGGTTTGGCTGAGGTGGAGGTAAGGTCTCTTCTCTTGGACCAAGCCAGAAAGCTTATATCCTAGAGGCTTCCCCCTACTGCCCCTCAATTATTCGCCAATGGTGCCCCTCCAAGGCCTGGTTGGGAGGCAGGAGAAGACAACGTAGACGCGGACACAAAGCCCCGCAACGGTCTCAACTGGCTGTGCTCGCACCCGGTTCCAAAATCTTGATGGGATATTTCCAAGTTGGGTGTGAATGGGGCGCAAGGAGCTCTGAGGTTTGAGAAGGTGGAGAAAGACTGGCAGGGTTGAGGCTCACCTGGCTTCTGGGGTTTCACACCTGCTCCAAAGCCTGGTGGAGAGACAGGCATCAGGTGAGGGACCCAAGCCCCACCCCTGCACCTCCCCAGAACCCTGGCCTACCCATACCTGGTCCGTAGCCATTTTGAGCTGCAGGGCCTGTGGAGAGACGGTGGGGGAATGATAAAGCTGGCTGTGGCCTACGGGGGTCCCTTGTCTTGCCTCCAACTCCTCCCCCATGGTCCTTGGTGCCCCTGACACCCTCGACTCCTGAAGCTGGTAGTGTCCCTCTTCTTGGAGTCATGCACAGAACCCTGCTCAATGCACTCATTATTAAGGGAGGTGGTTAAAGAGAGAGAGACCCGAGAGGGATGCGCGGGGACAGGATGGCTGTCCTCTCGGCCCTTTCTAGCCCTGGCGAGACAGAGAGGCTCACAAAACCTCTGCCAGGCCTCCCAGCTCTTCCTTCTCTTCTTCCCCATCCCTCAGGACCCTGGCCCAGCTCCCTCACCCAATCCAGACAATCCCAGTCCATTTCCATTATCGGATCTTGGGGACCAAACTGGGCTGGCCTGAGGGGCAGTGTGTAGGTGGGTTCAGTAAAATCAAGACAGAGTCAGGTAGCCTCAGAGTGGACGTGGGGGTGCCAGGGTCTTTCACCTCACCTGGTGTCTGAGGTTTCACTCTCCCTCCCAGGCCATTGGTCAATACCCCATCACCCCAAATCTGGACATCTAGTTCTCTGGGCCACAGCTTGCTCCAGGCCCTGCTCCAGCCCCTGCCCGTTTCTAACCCTCCCCTGTCTCTCTAAGAAGCCTGGTGTCCTGCCCCAGAGAAAGCTCATGCAGATCCTCGAGAGAGACAGGGATGCGAGTAGAAGGTGCCCTGGCTTCAGAGGGTACATGGATGAGAGACTAGACGACAGCAGGACTTACCGGGCTTCTGAGGCTTCATGCCCCCACCAAAGCCTGAAGGAGATTGGGGAGCAGGTGAGGGACCTGGGAGCCTCCTCTCAGGGTCTCCCAGGTTCTTACCAACGCCTACCTGCTCCATATCCATTCTGGGCTGCTGGGCCTGGGGGAAAGGGAGGGTGAGCTGAAAAGCACAGTGGTCTGGCTGAGTTGGGGGTAGGGTCCCACTCTTGGACCAAGCCAGAAAACTGTGTTGAAGAGGCTTCTGCCTAGAGCCCCTCAATTATTCACCAATCCTGCCCCTCCGAGGCCTGGGTGGGAGGCAGGAGGAGAAACCCAGACATAGACACACAGCCTCCCACTAGTCCTACCTGGCTGCACTCCCCACCTGTTCTTAAATCCTGGGGGCACATTTCCAAGTGGGGTGTCAATGGGGGGCAGGGAGCTCTGAGGTTTGAGAAGGTGGAGAAAGACAGGCAGGGTTGAGGCTCACCTGGCTTCTGGGGTTTCACACCTGCTCCAACGCCTGGTGGAGAGACAGGCAACAGGTGAGGGACCCAAGCCCCACCCCTGCACCTCCCCAGAACCCTGGCCTACCCATACCTGGTCCATAGCCATTTTGAGCTGCAGGGCCTGTGGAGAGACGGTGGGGGATTGATAAAGCTGGCTGTGGCCCACGGAGGTCCCTTGTCTTGCCTCCAACTCCTCCCCCATGGTCCTTGGTGCCCTTGACACCCTCGACTCCTGAAGCTGGTAGTGTCCCTCTTCTTGGAGTCATGCACAGAACCCTGCTCAGTGCACTCATTATTAAGGGAGGTGGTTCAAGCGAGAGCCCTGAGAGATATGAGGGGGGACAGGATGGCTGTCCCCAGCCCTTTCTAGCCCTGGGGAGACAGAGAGGCTCACAAAACCTCTGCCAGGCCTCCCAGCTCTTCCTTCTCTCCACCTTCCCCATCCCTCAGGACGTGGCCCAGCTCAGCTCACCCAGCCCGAGCAATCCCAGTCCATTTCCATTATCGTATCCTGGGGAAGAAACCTGGGCTGGCCTGAGGGGCAGTATGTGGAGGGGCTCAGTAAAGGGTGACAGAGATAGGCAGCCTCAGAGGCGAGGTGGGGGTGCCAGGGTTTCTCACCTCACCTGGTTTACTGAGGTTTCACTCCCCCTCCCAGGACATTGATCAATACCCCATCACCCCAAAACTGGACATGTAGTTCTCTTCGCCACAGCCTGCCCCAACACCTGCCCCAGTTCCTAACCCGGCACTCTTTCTCAGAAGCTAAGCTCCTGCCCCAGAGAAAGCTGATGCAGATCCTGAATGGAGACAGAAATGTGAGTATGGGTTGCTCTGGCTCCAGAGGTTACGTGATTAGAAAGACAAGACTAGAGCAGGACCCACCCAGCTTCTGGGCTTCATGCCCCCCCCCCAAAGCCTGAAGAAGATTGGGGAGCCGGTGAGGGACCTTTGAGCCCCCTCTCAGTGCCTCCGCCCTTTCCTATGCACTCCTACCTGCTCCATATCCATTCTGGGCTGCTGGGCCTGGGGAAAAAGGAGGGGTTTGGCTGAGGTGGAGGTAAGGTCTCTTCTCTTGGACCAAGCCAGAAAGCTTATATCCTAGAGGCTTCCCCCTACTGCCCCTCAATTATTCGCCAATGGTGCCCCTCCAAGGCCTGGTTGGGAGGCAGGAGAAGACAACGTAGACGCGGACACAAAGCCCCGCAACGGTCTCAACTGGCTGTGCTCGCACCCGGTTCCAAAATCTTGATGGGATATTTCCAAGTTGGGTGTGAATGGGGCGCAAGGAGCTCTGAGGTTTGAGAAGGTGGAGAAAGACAGGCAGGGTTGAGGCTCACCTGGCTTCTGGGGTTTCACACCTGCTCCAACGCCTGGTGGAGAGACAGGCATCAGGTGAGGGACCCAAGCCCCACCCCTGCACCTCCCCAGAACCCTGGCCTACCCATACCTGGTCCGTAGCCATTTTGAGCTGCAGGGCCTGTGGAGAGACGGTGGGGGAATGATAAAGCTGGCTGTGGCCTACGGGGGTCCCTTGTCTTGCCTCCAACTCCTCCCCCATGGTCCTTGGTGCCCCTGACACCCTCGACTCCTGAAGCTGGTAGTGTCCCTCTTCTTGGAGTCATGCACAGAACCCTGCTCAATGCACTCATTATTAAGGGAGGTGGTTAAAGAGAGAGAGACCCGAGAGGGATGCGCGGGGACAGGATGGCTGTCCTCTCGGCCCTTTCTAGCCCTGGCGAGACAGAGAGGCTCACAAAACCTCTGCCAGGCCTCCCAGCTCTTCCTTCTCTTCTTCCCCATCCCTCAGGACCCTGGCCCAGCTCCCTCACCCAATCCAGACAATCCCAGTCCATTTCCATTATCGGATCTTGGGGACCAAACTGGGCTGGCCTGAGGGGCAGTGTGTAGGTGGGTTCAGTAAAATCAAGACAGAGTCAGGTAGCCTCAGAGTGGACGTGGGGGTGCCAGGGTCTTTCACCTCACCTGGTGTCTGAGGTTTCACTCTCCCTCCCAGGCCATTGGTCAATACCCCATCACCCCAAATCTGGACATCTAGTTCTCTGGGCCACAGCTTGCTCCAGGCCCTGCTCCAGCCCCTGCCCGTTTCTAACCCTCCCCTGTCTCTCTAAGAAGCCTGGTGTCCTGCCCCAGAGAAAGCTCATGCAGATCCTCGAGAGAGACAGGGATGCGAGTAGAAGGTGCCCTGGCTTCAGAGGGTACATGGATGAGAGACTAGACGACAGCAGGACTTACCGGGCTTCTGAGGCTTCATGCCCCCACCAAAGCCTGAAGGAGATTGGGGAGCAGGTGAGGGACCTGGGAGCCTCCTCTCAGGGTCTCCCAGGTTCTTACCAACGCCTACCTGCTCCATATCCATTCTGGGCTGCTGGGCCTGGGGAAAGGGAGGGTGAGCTGAAAAGCACAGTGGTCTGGCTGAGTTGGGGGTAGGGTCCCACTCTTGGACCAAGCCAGAAAACTGTGTTGAAGAGGCTTCTGCCTAGAGCCCCTCAATTATTCACCAATCCTGCCCCTCCGAGGCCTGGGTGGGAGGCAGGAGGAGAAACCCAGACATAGACACACAGCCTCCCACTAGTCCTACCTAGCTGCACTCCCCACCTGTTCTTAAATCCTGGGGGCACATTTCCAAGTGGGGTGTCAGTGGGGGGCAGGGAGCTCTGAGGTTTGAGAAGGTGGAGAAAGACAGGCAGGGTTGAGGCTCACCTGGCTTCTGGGGTTTCACACCTGCTCCAACGCCTGGTGGAGAGACAGGCAACAGGTGAGGGACCCAAGCCCCACCCCTGCACCTCCCCAGAACCCTGGCCTACCCATACCTGGTCCATAGCCATTTTGAGCTGCAGGGCCTGTGGAGAGACGGTGGGGGATTGATAAAGCTGGCTGTGGCCCACGGAGGTCCCTTGTCTTGCCTCCAACTCCTCCCCCATGGTCCTTGGTGCCCTTGACACCCTCGACTCCTGAAGCTGGTAGTGTCCCTCTTCTTGGAGTCATGCACAGAACCCTGCTCAGTGCACTCATTATTAAGGGAGGTGGTTCAAGCGAGAGCCCTGAGAGATATGAGGGGGGACAGGATGGCTGTCCCCAGCCCTTTCTAGCCCTGGGGAGACAGAGAGGCTCACAAAACCTCTGCCAGGCCTCCCAGCTCTTCCTTCTCTCCACCTTCCCCATCCCTCAGGACGTGGCCCAGCTCAGCTCACCCAGCCCGAGCAATCCCAGTCCATTTCCATTATCGTATCCTGGGGAAGAAACCTGGGCTGGCCTGAGGGGCAGTATGTGGAGGGGCTCAGTAAAGGGTGACAGAGATAGGCAGCCTCAGAGGCGAGGTGGGGGTGCCAGGGTTTCTCACCTCACCTGGTTTACTGAGGTTTCACTCCCCCTCCCAGGACATTGATCAATACCCCATCACCCCAAAACTGGACATCTAGTTCTCTTCGCCACAGCCTGCCCCAACACCTGCCCCAGTTCCTAACCCGGCACTCTTTCTCAGAAGCTAAGCTCCTGCCCCAGAGAAAGCTGATGCAGATCCTGAATGGAGACAGAAATGTGAGTATGGGTTGCTCTGGCTCCAGAGGTTACGTGATTAGAAAGACAAGACTAGAGCAGGACCCACCCAGCTTCTGGGCTTCATGCCCCCCCCCCCCCGAAAGCCTGAAGAAGATTGGGGAGCCAGTGAGGGACCTTTGAGCCCCCTCTCAGGGCCTCCGCCCTTTCCTATGCACTCCTACCTGCTCCATATCCATTCTGGGCTGCTGGGCCTGGGGAAAAAGGAGGGGTTTGGCTGAGGTGGAGGTAAGGTCTCTTCTCTTGGACCAAGCCAGAAAGCTTATATCCTAGAGGCTTCCCCCTACTGCCCCTCAATTATTCGCCAATGGTGCCCCTCCAAGGCCTGGTTGGGAGGCAGGAGAAGACAACGTAGACGCGGACACAAAGCCCCGCAACGGTCTCAACTGGCTGTGCTCGCACCCGGTTCCAAAATCTTGATGGGATATTTCCAAGTTGGGTGTGAATGGGGCGCAAGGAGATCTGAGGTTTGAGAAGGTGGAGAAAGACAGGCAGGGTTGAGGCTCACCTGGCTTCTGGGGTTTCACACCTGCTCCAACGCCTGGTGGAGAGACAGGCATCAGGTGAGGGACCCAAGCCCCACCCCTGCACCTCCCCAGAACCCTGGCCTACCCATACCTGGTCCGTAGCCATTTTGAGCTGCAGGGCCTGTGGAGAGACGGTGGGGGAATGATAAAGCTGGCTGTGGCCTACGGGGGTCCCTTGTCTTGCCTCCAACTCCTCCCCCTTGGTCCTTGGTGCCCCTGACACCCTCGACTCCTGAAGCTGGTAGTGTCCCTCTTCTTGGAGTCATGCACAGAACCCTGCTCAATGCACTCATTATTAAGGGAGGTGGTTAAAGAGAGAGAGACCCGAGAGGGATGCGCGGGGACAGGATGGCTGTCCTCTCGGCCCTTTCTAGCCCTGGCGAGACAGAGAGGCTCACAAAACCTCTGCCAGGCCTCCCAGCTCTTCCTTCTCTTCTTCCCCATCCCTCAGGACCCTGGCCCAGCTCCCTCACCCAATCCAGACAATCCCAGTCCATTTCCATTATCGGATCTTGGGGACCAAACTGGGCTGGCCTGAGGGGCAGTGTGTAGGTGGGTTCAGTAAAATCAAGACAGAGTCAGGTAGCCTCAGAGTGGACGTGGGGGTGCCAGGGTCTTTCACCTCACCTGGTGTCTGAGGTTTCACTCTCCCTCCCAGGCCATTGGTCAATACCCCATCACCCCAAATCTGGACATCTAGTTCTCTGGGCCACAGCTTGCTCCAGGCCCTGCTCCAGCCCCTGCCCGTTTCTAACCCTCCCCTGTCTCTCTAAGAAGCCTGGTGTCCTGCCCCAGAGAAAGCTCATGCAGATCCTCGAGAGAGACAGGGATGCGAGTAGAAGGTGCCCTGGCTTCAGAGGGTACATGGATGAGAGACTAGACGACAGCAGGACTTACCGGGCTTCTGAGGCTTCATGCCCCCACCAAAGCCTGAAGGAGATTGGGGAGCAGGTGAGGGACCTGGGAGCCTCCTCTCAGGGTCTCCCAGGTTCTTACCAACGCCTACCTGCTCCATATCCATTCTGGGCTGCTGGGCCTGGGGGAAAGGGAGGGTGAGCTGAAAAGCACAGTGGTCTGGCTGAGTTGGGGGTAGGGTCCCACTCTTGGACCAAGCCAGAAAACTGTGTTGAAGAGGCTTCTGCCTAGAGCCCCTCAATTATTCACCAATCCTGCCCCTCCGAGGCCTGGGTGGGAGGCAGGAGGAGAAACCCAGACATAGACACACAGCCTCCCACTAGTCCTACCTAGCTGCACTCCCCACCTGTTCCTAAATCCTGGGGGCACATTTCCAAGTGGGGTGTCAATGGGGGGCAGGGAGCTCTGAGGTTTGAGAAGGTGGAGAAAGACAGGCAGGGTTGAGGCTCACCTGGCTTCTGGGGTTTCACACCTGCTCCAACGCCTGGTGGAGAGACAGGCAACAGGTGAGGGACCCAAGCCCCACCCCTGCACCTCCCCAGAACCCTGGCCTACCCATACCTGGTCCATAGCCATTTTGAGCTGCAGGGCCTGTGGAGAGACGGTGGGGGATTGATAAAGCTGGCTGTGGCCCACGGAGGTCCCTTGTCTTGCCTCCAACTCCTCCCCCATGGTCCTTGGTGCCCTTGACACCCTCGACTCCTGAAGCTGGTAGTGTCCCTCTTCTTGGAGTCATGCACAGAACCCTGCTCAGTGCACTCATTATTAAGGGAGGTGGTTCAAGCGAGAGCCCTGAGAGATATGAGGGGGGACAGGATGGCTGTCCCCAGCCCTTTCTAGCCCTGGGGAGACAGAGAGGCTCACAAAACCTCTGCCAGGCCTCCCAGCTCTTCCTTCTCTCCACCTTCCCCATCCCTCAGGACGTGGCCCAGCTCAGCTCACCCAGCCCGAGCAATCCCAGTCCATTTCCATTATCGTATCCTGGGGAAGAAACCTGGGCTGGCCTGAGGGGCAGTATGTGGAGGGGCTCAGTAAAGGGTGACAGAGATAGGCAGCCTCAGAGGCGAGGTGGGGGTGCCAGGGTTTCTCACCTCACCTGGTTTACTGAGGTTTCACTCCCCCTCCCAGGACATTGATCAATACCCCATCACCCCAAAACTGGAGATGTAGTTCTCTTCGCCACAGCCTGCCCCAACACCTGCCCCAGTTCCTAACCCGGCACTCTTTCTCAGAAGCTAAGCTCCTGCCCCAGAGAAAGCTGATGCAGATCCTGAATGGAGACAGAAATGTGAGTATGGGTTGCTCTGGCTCCAGAGGTTACGTGATTAGAAAGACAAGACTAGAGCAGGACCCACCCAGCTTCTGGGCTTCATGCCGCCCCCCCAAAGCCTGAAGAAGATTGGGGAGCCGGTGAGGGACCTTTGAGCCCCCTCTCAGGGCCTCCGCCCTTTCCTATGCACTCCTACCTGCTCCATATCCATTCTGGGCTGCTGGGCCTGGGGAAAAAGGAGGGGTTTGGCTGAGGTGGAGGTAAGGTCTCTTCTCTTGGACCAAGCCAGAAAGCTTATATCCTAGAGGCTTCCCCCTACTGCCCCTCAATTATTCGCCAATGGTGCCCCTCCAAGGCCTGGTTGGGAGGCAGGAGAAGACAACGTAGACGCGGACACATAGCCCCGCAGCGGTCTCAACTGGCTGTGCTCGCACCCGGTTCCAAAATCTTGATGGGATATTTCCAAGTTGGGTGTGAATGGGGCGCAAGGAGCTCTGAGGTTTGAGAAGGTGGAGAAAGACAGGCAGGGTTGAGGCTCACCTGGCTTCTGGGGTTTCACACCTGCTCCAACGCCTGGTGGAGAGACAGGCATCAGGTGAGGGACCCAAGCCCCACCCCTGCACCTCCCCAGAACCCTGGCCTACCCATACCTGGTCCATAGCCATTTTGAGCTGCAGGGCCTGTGGAGAGACGGTGGGGGAATGATAAAGCTGGCTGTGGCCTACGGGGGTCCCTTGTCTTGCCTCCAACTCCTCCCCCATGGTCCTTGGTGCCCCTGACACCCTCGACTCCTGAAGCTGGTAGTGTCCCTCTTCTTGGAGTCATGCACAGAACCCTGCTCAATGCACTCATTATTAAGGAGGTGGTTAAAGAGAGAGAGACCCGAGAGGGATGCGCGGGGACAGGATGGCTGTCCTCTCGGCCCTTTCTAGCCCTGGCGAGACAGAGAGGCTCACAAAACCTCTGCCAGGCCTCCCAGCTCTTCCTTCTCTTCTTCCCCATCCCTCAGGACCCTGGCCCAGCTCCCTCACCCAATCCAGACAATCCCAGTCCATTTCCATTATCGGATCTTGGGGACCAAACTGGGCTGGCCTGAGGGGCAGTGTGTAGGTGGGTTCAGTAAAATCAAGACAGAGTCAGGTAGCCTCAGAGTGGACGTGGGGGTGCCAGGGTCTTTCACCTCACCTGGTGTCTGAGGTTTCACTCTCCCTCCCAGGCCATTGGTCAATACCCCATCACCCCAAATCTGGACATCTAGTTCTCTGGGCCACAGCTTGCTCCAGGCCCTGCTCCAGCCCCTGCCCGTTTCTAACCCTCCCCTGTCTCTCTAAGAAGCCTGGTGTCCTGCCCCAGAGAAAGCTCATGCAGATCCTCGAGAGAGACAGGGATGCGAGTAGAAGGTGCCCTGGCTTCAGAGGGTACATGGATGAGAGACTAGACGACAGCAGGACTTACCGGGCTTCTGAGGCTTCATGCCCCCACCAAAGCCTGAAGGAGATTGGGGAGCAGGTGAGGGACCTGGGAGCCTCCTCTCAGGGTCTCCCAGGTTCTTACCAACGCCTACCTGCTCCATATCCATTCTGGGCTGCTGGGCCTGGGGGAAAGGGAGGGTGAGCTGAAAAGCACAGTGGTCTGCCTGAGTTGGGGGTAGGGTCCCACTCTTGGACCAAGCCAGAAAACTGTGTTGAAGAGGCTTCTGCCTAGAGCCCCTCAATTATTCACCAATCCTGCCCCTCCGAGGCCTGGGTGGGAGGCAGGAGGAGAAACCCAGACATAGACACACAGCCTCCCACTAGTCCTACCTAGCTGCACTCCCCACCTGTTCTTAAATCCTGGGGGCACATTTCCAAGTGGGGTGTCAATGGGGGGCAGGGAGCTCTGAGGTTTGAGAAGGTGGAGAAAGACAGGCAGGGTTGAGGCTCACCTGGCTTCTGGGGTTTCACACCTGCTCCAACGCCTGGTGGAGAGACAGGCAACAGGTGAGGGACCCAAGCCCCACCCCTGCACCTCCCCAGAACCCTGGCCTACCCATACCTGGTCCATAGCCATTTTGAGCTGCAGGGCCTGTGGAGAGACGGTGGGGGATTGATAAAGCTGGCTGTGGCCCACGGAGGTCCCTTGTCTTGCCTCCAACTCCTCCCCCATGGTCCTTGGTGCCCTTGACACCCTCGACTCCTGAAGCTGGTAGTGTCCCTCTTCTTGGAGTCATGCACAGAACCCTGCTCAGTGCACTCATTATTAAGGGAGGTGGTTCAAGCAAGAGCCCTGAGAGATATGAGGGGGGACAGGATGGCTGTCCCCAGCCCTTTCTAGTCCTGGGGAGACAGAGAGGCTCACAAAACCTCTGCCAGGCCTCCCAGCTCTTCCTTCTCTCCACCTTCCCCATCCCTCAGGACGTGGCCCAGCTCAGCTCACCCAGCCCGAGCAATCCCAGTCCATTTCCATTATCGTATCCTGGGGAAGAAACCTGGGCTGGCCTGAGGGGCAGTATGTGGAGGGGCTCAGTAAAGGGTGACAGAGATAGGCAGCCTCAGAGGCGAGGTGGGGGTGCCAGGGTTTCTCACCTCACCTGGTTTACTGAGGTTTCACTCCCCCTCCCAGGACATTGATCAATACCCCATCACCCCAAAACTGGACATCTAGTTCTCTTCGCCACAGCCTGCCCCAACACCTGCCCCAGTTCCTAACCCGGCACTCTTTCTCAGAAGCTAAGCTCCTGCCCCAGAGAAAGCTGATGCAGATCCTGAATGGAGACAGAAATGTGAGTATGGGTTGCTCTGGCTCCAGAGGTTACGTGATTAGAAAGACAAGACTAGAGCAGGACCCACCCAGCTTCTGGGCTTCATGCCCCCCCCCCCAAAGCCTGAAGAAGATTGGGGAGCCGGTGAGGGACCTTTGAGCCCCCTCTCAGGGCCTCCGCCCTTTCCTATGCACTCCTACCTGCTCCATATCCATTCTGGGCTGCTGGGCCTGGGGAAAAGGGAGGGGTTTGGCTGAGGTGGAGGTAAGGTCTCTTCTCTTGGACCAAGCCAGAAAGCTTATATCCTAGAGGCTTCCCCCTACTGCCCCTCAATTATTCGCCAATGGTGCCCCTCCAAGGCCTGGTTGGGAGGCAGCAGAAGACAACGTAGACGCGGACACATAGCCCCGCATCGCACCCGGTTCCAAAATCTTGATGGGATATTTCCAAGTTGGGTGTGAATGGGGCGCAAGGAGCTCTGAGGTTTGAGAAGGTGGAGAAAGACAGGGTTGAGGCTCACCTGGCTTCTGGGGTTTCACACCTGCTCCAACGCCTGGTGGAGAGACAGGCATCAGGTGAGGGACCCAAGCCCCACCCCTGCACCTCCCCAGAACCCTGGCCTACCCATACCTGGTCCGTAGCCATTTTGTGCTGCAGGGCCTGTGGAGAGACGGTGGGGGAATGATAAAGCTGGCTGTGGCCTACGGGGGTCCCTTGTCTTGCCTCCAACTCCTCCCCCATGGTCCTTGGTGCCCCTGACACCCTCGACTCCTGAAGCTGGTAGTGTCCCTCTTCTTGGAGTCATGCACAGAACCCTGCTCAATGCACTCATTTTTAAGGGAGGTGGTTAAAGAGATAGACCCGAGAGAGATGCGCGGGGACAGGATGGCTGTCCTCTCGGCCCTTTCTAGCCCTGGGGAGACAGAGAGGCTCACAAAACCTCTGCCAGGCCTCCCAGCTCTTCCTTCTCTTCTTCTTCCCCATCCCTCAGGACCCTGGCCCAGCTCCCTCACCCAATCCAGACAATCCCAGTCCATTTCCATTATCGGATCCTGGGGACCAAACTGGGCTGGCCTGAGGGGCAGTGTGTAGGTGGGTTCAGTAAAATCAAGACAGAGTCAGGTAGCCTCAGAGTGGACGTGGGGGTGCCAGGGTCTTTCACCTCACCTGGTGTCTGAGGTTTCACTCTCCCTCCCAGGCCATTGGTCAATACCCCATCACCCCAAATCTGGACATCTAGTTCTCTGGGCCACAGCTTGCTCCAGGCCCTGCTCCAGCCCCTGCCTGTTTCTAACCCTCCCCTGTCTCTCTAAGAAGCCTGGTGTCCTGCCCCAGAGAAAGCTCATGCAGATCCTCGAGAGAGACAGGGATGCGAGTAGAAGGTGCCCTGGCTTCAGAGGGTACATGGATGAGAGACTAGACGACAGCAGGACTTACCGGGCTTCTGAGGCTTCATGCCCCCACCAAAGCCTGAAGGAGATTGGGGAGCAGGTGAGGGACCTGGGAGCCTCCTCTCAGGGTCTCCCAGGTTCTTACCAACGCCTACCTGCTCCATATCCATTCTGGGCTGCTGGGCCTAGAGGAAAGGGAGGGTGAGCTGAAAAGCACAGTGGTCTGCCTGAGTTGGGGGTAGGGTCCCACTCTTGGACCAAGCCAGAAAACTGTGTTGAAGAGGCTTCTGCCTAGAGCCCCTCAATTATTCACCAATCCTGCCCCTCCGAGGCCTGGGTGGGAGGCAGGAGGAGAAACCCAGGCATAGACACACAGCCTCCCACTAGTCCTACCTAGCTGCACTCCCCACCTGTTCTTAAATCCTGGGGGCACATTTCCAAGTGGGGTGTCAATGGGGGGCAGGGAGCTCTGAGGTTTGAGAAGGTGGAGAAAGACAGGCAGGGTTGAGGCTCACCTGGCTTCTGGGGTTTCACACCTGCTCCAACGCCTGGTGGAGAGACAGGCATCAGGTGAGGGACCCAAGCCCCACCCCTGCACCTCCCCAGAACCCTGGCCTACCCATACCTGGTCCATAGCCATTTTGAGCTGCAGGGCCTGTGGAGAGACGGTGGGGGAATGATAAAGCTGGCTGTGGCCTACGGGGGTCCCTTGTCTTGCCTCCAACTCCTCCCCCATGGTCCTTGGTGCCCCTGACACCCTCGACTCCTGAAGCTGGTAGTGTCCCTCTTCTTGGAGTCATGCACAGAACCCTGCTCAGTGCACTCATTATTAAGGGAGGTGGTTAAAGAGAGAGACCCGAGAGAGATGAGCGGGGACAGGATGGCTGTCCTCTTGGCCCTTTCTAGCCCTGGCGAGACAGAGAGGCTCACAAAACCTCTGCCAGGCCTCCCAGCTCTTCCTTCTCTCCTTCTTCCTTATCCCTCAGGACCCTGGCTTAACTCTGCTCACTCAGCCCAGACAATCCCAGTCCATTTCCAGTATCGGATCCTGGGGCGGAAAACTGGGCTGGCATGAGACGCAGAGTTTGGATTGGTTCAGTAAAGGCAGGACATGGTCAGATTGCCTCAGAGATAAAGTGGAGGTTCCTGGGGGTCTTTCCCTTCACCTTGCTTCTGAGCTTCTCCTCCCTCCTTCATGCCTGATGCCAATACCTCGTTTTCTCACTACTGAGCACCTAATTTTCTGTGCCACCCCTGTCCCAGTTCCTAACTCTTGGTGTCCCTCTATGAAGCCTGGGTCCTGCTGCAGAGAAAGCTGATGCAGATCCTAGAGAGACAGCGATGTGAGTAGGGGGTACCCTGCTTCAGAGGTATGTGAATAGAGGGACAAGACTACAGCAGGACTTACCGAGCTTCTGGGGCTTTATGCCCCCCCCAAGGCCTGAAGAAGTTTTGAGAGCAGGTGAGGGACCTGGGAGCCCCCTCTCAGGGCCTCCCCAGGTTCTCACCCATTTCTACCTGCTCCATATCCATTCTGGGCTGCTGGGCCTGGGAAAAAGGGATGGTGAGCTGAAAAGGCTAGGCGTCTGGCTGACGTGGAAGTAAGGTCCCACTCTTGGACCAAGCCAGAAAGCTGGTATCTAGTGGCTTCCTCCTAGTGCCCCTCCATTATTCGACAGTCCTGCCTCTCCATGGCCTGGGTGGGAGGTAGGAGAAGACACCTAGACACAGGCACACCGCTTGCACCAGTCTCACCTGGCTGGGTTCCCAGCCTGTTCCCAAATCCTCGTGGGACATTTCCAAGTGGGGGCTGTATGGGGGGCAAGGAGCTCTGTATTTTGAAGAGGTTGAGAAAGACAGGCAGGGTTGAAGCTCACCTGGCTGGGGTTTCACACCTGTTCCAACGCCTCCTTGAAAGACATGTAGCAGATTAGGGATCCAGGCCCCATGTCTGCACCTCCCCAGAACCCAGGCTTTCCCCTACCTTGTCCATAGCCATTTTGAGGTACAGGGCCTGGTGGAAGGAGAGGGGTGCTCTGGGTACTGGCCTCTTTCTGAGGCTCCATCCTAAATTGGCCCCTTTTGCTCTCACCCTGGACGTGGCCTCCCCAGGAAGTCTGTCTGGGTCCTAGACTCCCCTTGCCGTCCAGCTTTCCTCCAGAGCTTGAATGGCACACCTAGCTGCCTGGGGCTGCCTATTTGGGTGTCACTGCCAACAGCATGCCAAACAGCCAGGAGGGTGAACTCCTTGAGGACTCCTCACCAGCTGCGTGCCATCAGCATTAGCCCTGCCCCATGGCCTCCCAGCCATTCCCAATGCCTGCAAGCGCCTTGGTCCTCATTTTTCCAGTGGGCCCTGCCCTCTAGTGGGCATTCTGGCCTCTAGTTGTTTTCACAGTACTTTCCTGTCTGCCTCTGCCTGCCCACAAGCCCCAGACTCTGAGAGGGCCGGTCTCCAAAGTCTGGCCCCTGGCTGTTTGTTGAGTGAGTTTTTCTTGTGGGACACCAAGTAGGAGAGGCAGAGGTCTCACCTGGCTTCTGAGGTTTTAGTCCTCCGAGACCTAAGGAAGAGAAGGCACTGTTCATGAGTCCATGAGTCCATGAGTCTACCTCACTCCTCCTCTTCCCTTAGAACTAGGGTCTGGCACCCATATCAGCTATCCCCTCAGCGACACCCATACTCCTGAGCACCAGGGCCTTGCCTGGCTGGACTCCTGCTCCTGGGAAGGCCCCATTCCCGAATCCTGGGGAGACAGGGCAGGAGGGAGTAAGGAGAGATCTGGGACTTGAGGGGAGCAGACAGATAAGAAGATACCACACAGAGTGGGATTTACCTGTCTTCTGGTGTTTTCCATTTCCTCCATAGCCTGGAAAAGAGATGAGCATGTGAGAACCCCCATCTCTGGTTTTGCCCCAGAAATAGCCTCTACCCTTGGACTGCAGGCCGACGCTCTAACCGCTGAGCCAAACAGCCAGGGCACAGCTTCTGCCCTCATACACCAGCTGTCCCTTCTCTACCTGGCCCACAGCCATTCTGCACTGCAAGACCTGTTGAGGGGGAGGAGGACACAAAAGCTGGGTGCTGCTGACATGGAAATGGTCCCTGGCCTCTCCCACCCTCCTATAGACCTCTGGCCTTCCTGCCATTTGGCCTGGCTAGAGTCACAAAGGGAGGTAGGTGACTGTGGGGACCTGTGTCAGGGAAGGGGCTGGGAAGACTGAGGCAGTGAGGACCTGGAGCCCCAGACCCTTCCCCACAGCTGCCTTCCACTTCTAGCCCATACGACTTCCAGGTAGTATAACTCCTGCCGCTTTTTCCTGCTAGGTCAAGAAGTCCAGGGAGTGCAGCCTCAAGAACCAGGGTTTTTCACTCGCTGCTTAAACCCCCAGGACTTCAGCTCCCTTCTAGCCTCAGGATTTGCCTTCTCACTTTCTACCTCCCATGGGTTCCCCTGCCCCCACAGCCTTGACCACAGTCCTTGAGATGGCACTGGGCTTGTGTAGTTCTGGGCTTATGGGCTGAGCCTAGAGAGCTGTCAGCCCAGTTCAGGTTGACCAGCACAGTGTCTGCTGTGCCCAGCCGAGGCAGGTGAAATGAATGAGCCCCTCAGAGCCCCTCTGCTGGAACTGGGGTTGGGGAGGTATGCCCCGGATCCTGGCCTCTTTCTCCAAGCTCCCTTCCCCAGCCACTTTTCCAATGGGCCAGATACTGGAGAGAAACAAACAGCAGTGTAAGGAATAGGTCAGGAGAGGACAGGACAGGGATGGGTAGGGATAGAGTCAAGATGGTGGGACTGGCTCACCAGATTTCTGCAAGAGGTTGAGAAAGACAGGCAGGGTTGAAGCTCACCTGGCTGGGGTTTCATGCCCCCTCCCAAGCCTGGGGAAAGCCCAAGTACCACGGAACCATATGTGGACCCTACCCTCCAGAGATCAATTTTCTGCCCTCCTGATCACCTAGCTCCTCCCTCTTTTTCCTTCTTGGAACCCCAGTTTGGCCCAGGGGTCCTCACCTGGCTGGGCTTCGACTCCCTGGAAGACCCTGGCTCCCATCTTATTCCCGTTGCCAAATCCTGGGGAGACAGAGCAGGAAGGAGTTAAGGTTAGGCCAGGTGGCAGGGGGTGGACAGGGACATAGGGACAAAGTAGGGCTCACCTGGCTTTTGAGGTTTCACACCTCCTCCAATTCCTGAGAAAGAGATGGGGACCACATTAAGGAGCCTGGAGCTCCCTTAAACCCCCAAACTCAAGTATATGCCCCCCAGTTCTCACCCCCATCCCCTACCTGGTCCCTGGCCACCATTCGGAGCTGCAGGGCCTGTGGAGAGAGGGAGGGCAGAGGCTGGAGCTGGGCCAGTGTGATGCTGTTCTCAGGACAGGACCTCTGTGGCCAACTCTCCCCAACAGTTCTTCTCAGGGAGAAAGTTGTGAGAAGGGCCTGGAAGTCTGGAAGACCCTCCACAAGACCAGGCGGAAGCCATAGGATGGCCACAGCAGTCCAATGAAGGGAGCAGTCTCTGAGAGGGTAATAGTGCCAGAGCTTGGCACAGGGGAGAAGGTGGGGCTCTCCACTCACCTGGCTTCTGAGGTTTCATTCCCCCTCCCAGGCCTAGGAAGAGATAAAAAAAGAAGTTGACACTGATCCCCACCAGCCCCCCTAAAGAATGCAGATCATGTCCCTGAAACTCCCTTTTCCTTGCCTGCCCCTTCCTGTAGCCACCTGTCAGAGCTCCGCCCTCGGAAAAGTGCTGACTCCTAAACCGTTTCTGCTCCCAAATCCTGGGGATACAGAGGTGAGGGCTGTAAGCCCTGAGGTGGGCAGGTTTTGGCCACACAGAGGAACTGGGATGAAAATAGGCAGGGACCATGCCAGGATGGGGGTAGGTTCTCCTTACTGGACTTTGGAAGTTTCATTCCCCTTCCCAGACCTGCGCCTCCTGCCCTCCCCCAAGAACCCAACTCTCTCCCCTACCGGTTCCCTGATCCCAACTCTGACCCCAACCTTTTTCCTCCCTGAATGCCAGGGTGGTGCCCCAGGTATCCTCACCTGGCTGGGCTCCAAGCCCTGGGAAGGCCCCAGCTCCCAGTCCATTTCCATATCCTGGGGAGACAGAGCCAAAAGGAAGAATAAGGAGGAGGAGGTGCTGGGACTTGGAAGGGAACCAGAGAGATGGTGAGGTGGACAGAGGGATGGGTATAGAGAGCCGAGTCTCACCTGGCTTCTGTGGTTTCACACCCCCTCCAAAGCCTGGAGAGAGAGAGATGCAGTGGATGAGGGAACCCCAGAGACCCAGTCCCTTCCTAGGCTCCATGCTGAGCTGAAGGGTAGGGCAGGGGGCATTTAGGGTCCTAGCTGAGGTGGGGGTGAAGCAGGGGTACCCTGTTCTGCTGTCCTCAAACCAGACACCAGGAACTCTTATGGTCCTTCCCTCTGCCTCCAATGAGTCACCAGTTCTGCCCTGGGGAGCCTGGAAGAAGCTCCTAATGCTGACCCAACCAGCCCTATGCCCAACATGTCATACCCATACCTCTTCCCCCACCTTACCTGGCTGGGCTGCAGCACCTGGGAAGGCCCCTGCTCCTAGCCTGTTTCCATTCCCAAACCCTGGGGAGACAGAGCAAGAGGGGGTGAGGGAGAAGTAGGCAGTAATGTGGAGTCGGGGCTTAGAAATGGGGGAGACAGGCAGGGTGGGAGGGCTCACCTAGCTTGTGGGGTTTTAAACCCCCTCCAGTGCCTGAAAAGGAAATGGATCAAGTGAGGGTCCCAGGAGACCCCATTTCAGGGATGCCCCTAGAATACTGGCCCAATCCCCCCACACACATTCTGAGCCCACCTCTATCTGTTCTGTAGCCATTCTGAACAGGAGGGCCTGTGGGGAGAGGAGGAATGAACTGGGGAGGTTTGGGGTACTAGCTGGGGTGGGTGTGCAAGACCCTTGGACTCAGCCAGAAACAGCAAACCTGAAGGCTCCCAATCTACCCCTCTTCCCCCAGAATCATTCACCAACCTTGCTCCTCCCCTCTGAGGCCTGGGAGGGAACAGGGAGAGGACCCACCCAGACCCCATCACTCTCACCTGGCTGGACTCCCAGGCCATTCCTGTTCCCAAATCCTGGGAGGACAGATAGAGGTGAAGGGTATGAGAGAAAAATGGGGAGACAGACAGAGACAGCTGGAGCTAGGCAGGGCTTACCTGGCTTCTGAAGTTCTTACCCCCTTGGAAGCTGGGGGAGATCCAGGGAGCAGGCGAGAGACCCAGGATCCTGCCCCCTCACTCTTCCCCCCCTACCCATGTAAAGCCTGCTCCCAACTAGCCTAAAGGACATGCAGTGAGGGGCAGAGTACATGGGTTAGATGACACCAGAACAGTCTTGATGGATTCTTATGGAGGGTGGAGAAATGTGCGCAGGAGGGGAAAGAGAAGGCCTGCTAGAAGGGGTCTCAGGTGGGCTTCTCTGCCTGAGGAGTGTCAGTGCTGTCCCCAGGTATTTCTGAGATGGCTGCCCCCACCCCCAGATCCTATTTACCCACCCCTTACCTACTCCCAGGCCACTGGAGGGGCCATAGCCTGGGGGAAAATGATGTGTTGAGCCTAAAGGGGGCAGGAGGGGCCAGGAGCTAGGGTGTTCTGTCCTCATTTGGGGGACATAGAACTGCCCCCCCACCTCAGCCAGATTTACCTGAGTGACACCCAAATTTGGATGCTCCCCCCTCACCCACTCTGCAGAGCAAAAGTGCACTGCCCCCTCCCTGGACCTGTTTTCCTTCCGGTCACAAAAGGAGAAGGACAGAACCAGGTGAGCAGACTGTTGGCCAAGACAAGGCTGTCTGGGCTGTGACCCTGGGGGCAGGTCCTCTACTCCTTCTTCCTCAGGGATGTGTGTACCTCTCCCCTCCATTCTTACTGGAGCATCTTTTTGGACCCCTCCTTTCCTGGAAATTTCATCCTCCTTACGCCTATCTCTCAGTACATCTCTCTAGCAGCTTAGATGCATCAGGTCTCTGGAGGGAGCCCCTTCTCCCACCCTTAGGATGCCACAGGTTGCTGGAATGAAGACCCTTCTGTAACGCTCAGCCCCCTTCTCCCCTCCCATGTTCCAGCCTTCTCTCCTCCCATCCTGTTCCACCTCCAAGCCTTTGATCCTCTTGCTTCCAGGGATGTCTTTCCCCTTTCCTGTCACAACCCAACGCCCCCTCCCTTGCAGACCCAGCCCCAGACCCCTCATCTGGACCCCAATATTCTCATGCCCAGAGTTGAGATTCTGCCCCATCTCACTCTGTTTCAAGGGTACGGGTCTGTGCTTCCCACACTTGAGCTGACCATGGGCAAGACTGACTGCCAGGAACATAGGGAGGAACCCTGTGCTCTCCTGGGCCCTACACCTGGATCCCAGAGCTGGGGAATACCTGGAGCTCTCCCCCCAGAGAGCTCACAGACACCTGGTAGGAGAGACCAGGTCCTCTTCTAGGACCTCAGTGCTAGGAAGGTCCACTCACCTTTCCCTAGGCCAGGAGACAGTGAAGGCAGCCCTGGGGAGCAGGGGTTGCTGACTCAAGGTGGAGACCCCAGAGACAGAGAGGGACAGGACCCATGCATCTGTACCCAAGCCCCCATAATTCAGACTTCACACACCCAATCCTCCCTCTCTCCAGAGCCCCAGCCTCCAATGCACTACCTACACCCCCAGCCCCAAACCCAGCTGCCCAGACTCTGTAGCTGCCTGAACGAAGCCTGCCCTCACCGCCTTGTAGGCTTTCAGAAGTCAGGCAGAGCAGGAAAAGGGCTGCGGTGAAGGCCCGGGTGCCCATGATGCCTGGCAGAGTGGGAGGACACACACCCTTTGAGCCTTTAAATACCTCTGCCGGTGGGGGCCCTTACCCAGCCCCCCCCCCCCGCTGTGAGTGACGGAAGGCTCTGTTGGAAGACCCCAGGGGGCCAGCCCCCCTCTCCCTCTGCAGCAGGAATCCAGCCCCTGGCCTTCTCCCTGCCCCACTCCTCATCCATCATGGGCGCTGACAGCTGGGACAGGCCCCCACCTGGCCCCTGAGGCCCCTCTACCCCTGTCAGGGACTGGGGCCCTGGCGCCAGGCCTGGAGGGCTCAGATGTTACCCCCGCAGCTGGTGAGGGGCAGGCAAGCATTGTAGGCACCCCATGGCCAGCCCAAACACAGCTGGGGAGAGGGGAGAGCCAGGCCCAGAAATGTGGGTGTGGCTGATGGGAGACAGAATGAGTTACTGTGTTACATGGAGAGAGAGAGCAGGAGGCAGAGGCCACAGAATGTTACAAAGGCCTGTGGCCAGATGACAGTGTACTGTATCTGACATGTAGACAAGAAGATAGGTAATATTATCCCATCTAACCCCGAAGACCCAAGGTGTGACACTGGGAGATGGCCCTTTGTCCCCACCTGAGCTGGGCTTGCTAGAGTGAACCTGAGCTTCCTTTCCACATGGGATGGTGATCACAAGGATGGGTCACACCATGCTCATCCTATCCAAGGGTCCTCCCTGTTTCAAAAAAAAAAGAATAAAGCCCTGACCAGTTTGGCTCAGCAGTTAGAGCGTCGGCCCGCGGACCAGAGAGTCCTGGGTTCGGTTTCCGCTAAGGGCACGTACCTCGGTTGCAGTTTGTCCCCGGCCCCAGTTTGGGTCATGTGGGTGGCAACCAGTCAATGTCTCTCTCACATCGATGTTTCTCTCTCTCTCTTCTCTCCTCTCTCCCTACTGCTCTATCTGAAGATAAATGCAAACATGTCCTCGGGTGAGGATAAATAAATAAATAAATAAATAGCCCTGGCTGGGTTGGCTCAGCGGTTACAGCGTCAGCCTGCGGTCCAGAGAGACCCGGGTTCGGTTCCCGCTAAGGGCATGTACCTTGGTTGCAGTTTGTCCCCGGCCCTGGTTGGGTCGTGCAGGTGGCAACCACTCAACGTGCTTTCACGTCGATGTTTCTCTCTCTCTGTCTCTCCCTCCCACTCTATCTGAATAAAAAATGGAAAAATGTCCTCGAGCGAGGATAAAAATAAATTAAATAGATAAATAAATAAATAAATAAATCATATATATTTCTCCCAGCCAGTGTGGCTCAGTGGACTGAGCATCATCCAATGGACTGAGAGATCCCAGTTTGATTCATGGTCAGGGCACTTGCCTGGGTTGTGGGCTTGATCCTCAGTGGG